CAGATAACTAGGGTTTTTTTCTTTTTTTTAAAAGAATATTTTTCATGCAATAATTGATCATGTTTTTGCCTCCTCCAACTCTTCCCAGATCCTTGCCACCTCCCTACCCACCCAACTTGACTCTGTCTCTCTCTCTCAAAAAAAAGTAATAATCAAAAAGGTAAAACAAAAAGCCCCACACACCATCTTTGATTTATTTACTTATTTTGTTATTTTTTTTTTGAGACAGGGTTTCTCTCTGTAGCTTTGGTGCCTTTCCTAGAACTTGCTTTATAGACCAGGCTGGCCTCGAACTCACAGGGATCCTCCTGCCTCTGCCTCTCAAGTGCTGGGATTAAAGGTATATGCCACTGCCTGGCTAAAATCCCCCACATCAAAAAAAAAAAAAAAGCCAACAAAAACATGATGCTCATTTTGTGGACATGGGGCTGGCCTGGTTTTATATACCCAGTGACTCTTCATTGAAGAAAATTAGTTTCCCTGCCAGCAGTTGTCAGTTACAAACAGCTTCTGAGTCCACTTGCCCCTCTTTCCCCTCCTCTTCTTCATACATCCCTGAGCCTTGAGGGAGGGATTGGATGAAAGGATCCTAGTTAGGGCTAAGTGCTCCAAAATCTCTCAGTCTTCTGCACATTTTGCTGTTGTGGGTCTTTGTGTTAACTCTATGGGTGCAGTATATGTCACTAGTCATTTCATTGCTGTTCACTTTGCAGAATAATAGGAGTAGGCTTCCCCCTAAGCCCATGGCTTACCTAGTCCTGTGTTCTTGGCCTTTAGCACTGTCAGGTATAGGTTCCATCTCATAGAGTGGACCTTAAATCCAGTCAACGTTTGGTCACTATTGGACCATTATATCCTACAGGCAGTTAACTGTCATAAGCCTCGGGATTGTGACTGGGTGATGCCGATGATTGCCCTTTTTCTCTGGGAGCTTTACAGAGTACCTTCCAGTATCTTGAATACTAGTCAGTAGGCATGAAACTATTATCTGACGTTTCACTAACAACACTACCAATGTTGGTTTCTTAATCCTGACAAATGTACCGTACGATAGTAATTTCAGATGCTGGAAAACAGGAAAGTGGGGAGAGGAATATCAATGAACTTCCTGTACTACCTTTGCAAACTGAACTCACTATGGTAACTTATGCCTCTTTTTGTCAGGTACCATGATTATAAAATAATTAATAAATAAAATTAGAATATAACCATAAAGGGAAATTTGAGAAACTATAGAAAAGTTGAAAAGAATATTAGTTTATGATCATTCAAGTGTAATTGCTCATTTAAATGTTCGTTTAAACTAGGATTTTTTTGCCACAAAGGTATGATCATATTAAGATATTTCAGGTACCCGTATTTTCAAAAATTAATAATATATACTAATTTTTTTTTAAAAAAAAGTGTGGTGATTCTGAGATGTTAGCTTTCTTAAGCTAGTCAGTTAACTAACTTGTGTTTATTTGACACACACCCAGCCTTGGAAAGAGTCTAGAACTAAAGGTCAGTCACAAGACATGCAGACATGCCTGAGGCTTCTGGAAGAATGTTTCCTAACACTAGTGTGTCATCACATAATATATTCTCTTTTAAAACATTATTTTAATTTTGTTTTCGTTCTCATGTATTTTTGCAAAATAGAGTGCTCACTAAATGTAACATACCAGGACCTAAAATGAGAGAAATACAGAGAATGTAATAAATTCTAGGTGAAGAATGTTTCTTTTAAACATTGACCCTGGAGAAGCAAGGATATATTGAAAAGGGTTCTAAGACAGTGTTAGCTTTTCTAAAATTTTGACTGCAGAAATTTTGGGGGCTCATGAAGAGACAAAGAACAGCATCATTGTTCAGGAAGATTCATTTTCATGTTCTACGCTCATATTTGAGAATCCCTTAAGCTTTTTTATTTCTATTAAATTTATTTCAGTGTTTATGAACCTCTTCCTGTTATTATAATAATAAGGGTGCAAAGGAGTTTTTACTTTTCCCACCTCAAAGTACACTTTTATGTTGAAGTATGTTAGTTTTGACTTATAGCAGAGAAACATCCCTCAGTAACAAGGAGATGGCAAGTTATAAATCAGAAAATTCTGTGAGCCAAAACTTGGGTTTTGCTTGTTTGTTTTAACTTATTTGTTTGTTTGTTTTTTGTTTTGTTTTTAAAGAATTTCTGCAGGGGCTGGAGAAATGACTCAGCAAAGTTCTCAGTCAACTTGGTGTGCATTAAATACAATTCTTTGTTGTCATCAGCACAGTAGTGCAGTATTTTTTCACTAGTAATCACAAATATAGTGAGTACATACTGTATTCTACGGGCCACTAAATAAAAGTATGGTCTCTAATTATTCATCCTATGTTAATTTGTTCACATTATTTAGGATTTCAGTTGAGTTTCAGTGAGATTAGAAAATTGAAGGGCTTGTAAAAAAAGCATTTAACATTTTATACTTTCGTTGAGGGTCTAATTTACATGTAAACTATTCAGTGGGCTAGGGTTATAGTTAAATGGTAGATCACTTGCCTATGGTCGACATATATACCTAAGGGACCTGTAGAGTGAAGAGGGGGAAATGCTATGTAAAAATGAAAAGTAATACAACAAAATATTTTTTTAAAAAAAATGGGAAAATTCTGTGAAACACTGTGAGACAAAGAACCCCTCCCAAAGTTGCCCCTTGAGTTCACTTTCTGTTGTCCATCTTCTGCTGGGCGTCCAGCCTGCCCTTAAGAGTAGTTGGTTTTCACAGGGAGACTCCCTTGGAGGACATGGAAAAGTTTTGTTTGTAAGCAGTTATCAGTTGGAGATTGCTTCTGGGATCCACATGTCCACTTCTCTGTTTAACTCCAGGACCCCATCAGGTGCAGACCTGTACAGGCCTGTGCATGCTGCCTGTCTCTGTGAGTTCATGTGTGTGCCAATCCTGTTGTATCTAGAAGGCCTTGATGCTTTGGTGTCCTCATCCTCTCTAACTCATACACTCTTTCCTCCCCCTCTTCTGCAGAGCTCCCTGAGCCCTGAGGGGAGGGATTTGATGGAGACATCCCATTTAGGATTGAGTGTGCTAAGGTCTCTTACTCTGTAAGATATCTGGCTGTGGATTTCTGTGTGTCTTAGTTAAGGTTTCTATTGCTGTGAAGAGGCTCCATGACCACAGCAAGTCTTATAAAAGAAAATATTTAGTTGGGTGGCAGCTTACAGTTCAGAGGTTCAGTCCATTATCATCATGGCTGGGAATGTGGCAGTGTGCAGGCAGACATGATGCTGGCTACTTCTTGGTCAGAAAGTAACAGGAAGTGGTCTGTGACTCTTAGGGGAGCTTATGCAAAAGAGTCTTCAAAGCCTGCCCCCACAGTGACACACTTCCTTCAACAAGGCCACACCTCCCAGTAGCGCCACTCCTATGAGCTTCTGGGGGCCTGGTACATTCAGACTACCACACTATGTTGTTCTCCTTTGCTGCAGGAGCAAGTCTCTCTGATGATGGCGGAATCTCTGAATATAGCAGAATATCATTAGGAGCCATTTTAATTTTTAGACCAATAATAGGTCTCTGGGCTATCTAGTCTCAGCTTCTTGGTCACCTAAGCAGTGTCAGGTAAAGGCTCCATTTCTTTGGTCAGATTAGATGTTGGTTGGTTACTCCCACAAACTGTGTGCTACCATTGCACTTGCATGTCTTACAGGCAAGTACTCATCATCAATGGGGGGGGGGCGGCTGGGTTGGTGTTTATTTACCTTGCTCCTGGAACTTCTTTAGTGAAGGAATTTTAAAGTGTTAACTTTTTGTTCTAAGCAATGTGTTAGTGATATCCCGTAAGTTTTTATGTGGTAGGTTTAATTTGTATTCAGTTCTTTTATTTTCTTTAATATTTCTTATATGAACTGTGGGTTACTTAATAGTGTTATCTTTACACTTTTTTTTTTTCTCTCTTTTTAAGATTTGTGTGGGATTCCAGTCTTTTGATTTGGGCTTCTGGTTAGTGTTGTGGTTTAAAAAAAAAAAAAAAAAAAAGCAAAATTTTTGTGATTTTAATCCTATTAAATCTGTAGCTTATCTTATGTATTAGAGTCCAGAAGTTTTATTTTGTTTTGATGTGTTTTGTGTGTCACCGTATGAATATTCCAAGTGCGCTTAAGAATGCCCTGCTACACGTTCTGCATGTTAGTTAGGTGGGATGGCTGGATGTCTCTGAAGTTTTCTAGATCCTTGTATCTATCTGCTTGTTCTGTCGGGTCCCGGGAACAGAGTGTTGAAATATGTAATGTTAATTTAAAAACACATATTACTTAAACGTCAATGAAATTAGTAGGTTGTAATGATAAGGGTAGTTAAGCAGTGTGTTAAGGGATGGAGTCCGTTTGCATTTCCAAGTCTTGCACACTTCAGGGTGCCAGTCCTTGCTGTGTTTTACCCTTCTGAGCCTGCTGCCTTTGGTTTAATAGAAGTGATGTGAACTTCTTGTAGATATTATGATCATTTGATGAGAAAATGAGCTGGAATTCTCTTTAGTATTTCAAGACAGGGTTTCTCTCTATAGCCCCCACTGTCCTTGAACTTACTCTGTAGGGCAGGTGAGTGCTGAATTCTTCACATAGTAACTGCTGTATAGTTATTTATAAATAGGAATTATTTTTTATTTTTAAAAATTTCAAATTGTGTATGTTTTTCAGAATTGCAAGTTGTGATGCCAAATGTGTGGTTTTAGTATTCTTTCTTTGTATTTGTTGATTTCACCCGTGGTCTGTACTGTGACTTGCCTTTTGTGAACCTTTTCCCGTTGCTTTATTCCCGTAAGCCATTATTACTGACAGTCTTTTCAGAGCTTTTAGCCCAGTGTAGATTGTCTTCTTTATATTACAGTAGAGTTTGACAGGTTTTTTGGCATAATTTTACTTACCTTGCAATAAAATACTAACATTCAGAGGGTGTGAACAATACATAGATTTTTAGAGCTATACAGTTACCTGATTGAAACAAATTGTTTTTCTCTTCCAGATCAACAGAGAAAGCTGGTGTGCCATAGAGCCATGCCCTGAAGCAGCATCTCTTTTGGCTTCCAAACAGAGCTCAGGTAGGCCTGTTGATTGTCTTGCTTTGAAGAAATAATTTGATGTTGTGATCTGCAATTCTGGAATTTATTATACAATAATTCAGAAGAAATGCGTATGTATAGGTTAGTTTGTAAGCATGATTTCATAATCAAAATAAAAGCACTAAAGAAAATAAAATTTTCTTAATTTTATTTTAGGAATTATTAGTAATTTTAGAGATCATGTGGTTTTATGGTTGTTACTCATTTGTAAAGCAATGTGGTGGTGTAAACTACAAGTATGTGTTGCTGGGGACCAAACCTGTGGTTCTTATTTTTTGACTGTGTTAATGCAAAAAACAAACACAAGAATTCATAGCTCTTGTCTCAAAGAGGCTAAGAGATAGTTTATTCTAGAGCCACATTTGAGTGGCCATAGCCTAGGAACACAGATGGGATACCCCAAATTCCATGTTCCAATTTAGAAGCAGTTTCATAAAGAAGTTTTTATAGCAATAAAACATAGAAAGCCATAAATGAATAAATTAAATACTTTGGTGGAAATGAATGATGCTCTACTTTAAGCCTCAAATGCCATCTGATATTTTTAACTTTGGGTTTGGTGGAAGGTAGCAGTCTGCTCCGTTTATATATTCCAAAAGATTCTTTTGTCTATTAGTCACAGGATGTTATTCCAACATAGAGGTAGATGAGGAATGGCTCTTCTGGGGGTAAAGCTAGCCAAAATAAGGTAATTAATCTCTGGACCTTCAACATTCCAGCTTCTCCACATCACAGTGGTCCTAATCAATCTATCTTTGCAGACACGGTGTCTTTCCAAGAAGTCTCAGTGACAGCTGCATACTAGAATAAGCTGGGCTAGAGAGCTTTGAAAATACATGACACCTTAGTCTTGCCCTTAGTAACTCAGATTTAGTGGGCTGGGATGTGGCCTGGGCATCCACTAGAATCATTTTGGGCTCCTTCTGTTGTCCTGAGTAGGCAGAAAGGAGAATTTCCTTCCATGCCCGTGCATATTAGTCACAACAAATCGAGTTAAGATCGTACCTAGTTAGGAATCCTTTACCCCAAGTTCAACCAGTTCTGCCATAAGGTACATTCCCCAGTGTCTGGATTCCATCTCTTTCATCTGTAAGGTATTACTGGGCTGCCTCCTAGAGGGGTGTTGCACAGACAGCTAGGTGAGGAACTGTCTCTGAGCTCACGCCGCTGCTGTCTTCTGCGCTGCTGAACGAGCAGTAACATTTTGCATTTTTTAGTTCTCCAGTTCACTTCATCACCAAAGCCTCTATTTACTTTCTCATTTTTACTAATCTCTGTAGAAATTATCAGTCCTTCTTATTTGCTGGCCTTTTTGGAGACAGTTTAGTTGTAGATGTCTTTCAGTACTATTTAAGTTGAGAAAAGATTGCCCTAGTCTTTTAAGTCCTGAGAAATTTTCTGTCATTTCTCAACTCTGCTTGTATTACAAAAGAAGTAACTAAAACAGACCTGGAAAGTGTTTTCACACTTCTTGAGAGTGCTACTTCAGAATATTATGTATGGTTGTGTGCGGGGCCTAAAAACTCAAACGTGTTGGAGGTAAAAGTATGCACACAACTATGTTTCTGTTATTTTAGCTGACAGGGACTTTTCTGAAAGTATAGCCAGCTACCCAAGAATGAAACTTCTGCCATGTGATTGTTGAGTAAAGTCTTAGGATTTGAATATTCAAAATGCATAAGGAACTCTAGACATCATTGCTCAATCTATTTCATTAAGGAAGTAGATTTGAGTTGCAGTTTTTTCAGGTCATAATCGTGAATTGTTCAAACACCCCTTTACAGTATAACTCCCAGAATAAGCAGTGTGGTCATACATTAAGGATCAATGAAGCCTGAACTTCATTTAGGCATATGTATCACACACCTGCAGTATGTTCCACCCACGCCTCTTGTCTAGTTATTACATTTCTAATTTGCTGTTTACTGTCAGTACAACTCTTTAGGCATATGCATGTCATCCCATTTTAATGGTACAGAAGCAAAGACCTACAGGGTTAAATTACCTGTTAAGCAAGATCCATCTAAACATCCTAAAATCATTATTGTTTACTCTTGTTTCCAATTCATACTTTAATATATTCTTCTTCATTAGGAAGGGAATATAGGAAGAAAGTAAGGATTCTGTCTCTTAGCCAGCATCCCTGTTTTCCCCAGGCACAATATGGAGAATTTTTTGGTGTTTTCCAAGTGGCAAAAGAGGCGGTAATAGAAAAACCCACCAACTGTACTAAGTCATTGTTTACTGTATAGAATGGGTTGGGGGCTAAAATACCCATAATTATGGTCTTTTGAAGAAACCATACGATTTCCATTGAACTAACATTGTGAAATTATCCACTAAGCTCATAATTGTGACTGAAAGATTTAAGATTAACTTATAGATCCTGCCTCCTTATTATGGTATTCTTTTTATAATTCTGCAATGAAATTGTCTCTTATTGTGTTAATTTGTACCACAAGATTGTAAATAGCCCATTCTGCAGGAATACATTAAATGTCTTCCCAGAATCTAGCCAAATGCCTAACTTTGTAAATATCTAAAATGGAAGAGAGGCTAGGAAAGCAAAGAGGTAGGTGAAAAATAGAGAAAATGACTACATGTTGGTGTGAAACAGAAAGTGAGATTTCTTAAGGTGTTGGTTAAATAAATGTTCTTTTTCAGAATGCGAAAGCTTCCTAGATGTTGGACTGGGCACAGAGTGTGCCTCAAAAGAAGGCGTGCTTCAGAGAACGGGGAGTGATCCTGACCTCTTCCACTCCCCCACTGACGAGATGGACAGCATCGTCTTCTCCAAGGTATTGGAGGAGCCAGAGTTCTCCTAGTCTCATTTGGCCTTACTTAACCCTGTTTTCCTGTGATTTTTCCACTTGTGCTCATTGTCATCCATGACTTTAATGTGTGGCTCTAGCTAATGGACTGTGATCCAGCTAGGCCGTGTGTCCTCTACTCTGAGTGACTGTGCGGGGACTTACTTTGTTTTGCCTCCTTCTCTCCCTCCCTCCCTTCCTTCCCTTTCTAAGCTGCAGCAAATGGCCTAGCTGGATCACTCAGAAAGGGGGCGGGGGTAGAAGTATTCTATTTGAAGAAGGAAATTCCACATTGCCAGGGCTTAGAAACAGGTATTGGCCAGGTTATTAGCTGTATCTTCTGAAAAATGATGGCTGGTTACATGAGTGGTTTGAAGCTTGCATTGAAGTCAAAAAGCATGGGAGTTCCTTTAGAATGAACTAAGTCAGATGACAGTGAACACCCTTCAGTGGTTAGGAAGGGACCGCAGCTCAGACTGCATGATGTCATATATATAAACTAACCATAGAGTCATTCTGATTAATGTGTGGATGCCTGGAACGCACTAAGTCTGGTGACGTCATCTTTCATCCAGACTGCTTAATTGGGACTTTCTAGATCTCTGGTAGAGAACTTAAGCTTTTCCTCTAGTGAAGAGCTAGGGAAGATGGCAGTTGGAAGCTTGAGTTCGTTTCTGTGTGAAGCAAGTTCTGTTTTGTCCCCTAAGAGGGCAGGTCATGCTGTACTCAGTTACATGCCACAAATGGTTTTCCCAATAGAAGGACTGAAGGGGCAAAAACATTGTAGCAGCTGTGCAGAGGAGTCTTCCTTCTGGTTTTCTGACTTTGAGGAAGTTCTGAGAGCAGTTTTGTTGGTGGGTGGTTAAACACTCCAAGACAGTATGATGTTTCTGTGCTTGACTGTTGCAGTATAGGAGCGATGTCATAAAATTCTACTCTTTTCATTTTTGTCCGTTAGTCCTCATATTCCATTTGTTCTTCACTCGCCCTTTCTACTTCCTTTGATTGTCTTCTGAGGGCTCTTGAAAGCGTTTCTGGTACGACTAGGATTTCTGTCTTTGTCTCTGGCTGGCCAGGTTGTTGGTGCATGCCTGAAATCGTAGCACTCAGGAGGCTGAGCTAGGAGGATTGTGAACTTGATGTAGTAATTCGGCCCAGTCTTGAGGGGTTTGGGGAAGATTTGCCTTTGAAGTCACATAGGAAGAGAAAAGCCAGTGTTTTTTGTTTGGGGACCTTCTTTGTTTTGCCTCCCTTTCTTTCCTTCCTAAGCTCTTAACAAATGCATTTTTTTAAATTACAGTTTTGGGGAGGAGGGATATGTGCTTCCGCGCTCATGTAGAAGTCGGATAAATCTTCTAGCTTTAAAACAGGCTCATAATGATGGGAACTGGCTAATGAATGCTTAAGAGATTATCAAGCAACTGTGTTTGGTTGTGTATCCTAATAGTAAAAACTTTCAAGATTTATTTTTATGTCTAAGTGTGTTGGGAGTGTGGCTCATGGAGGCCAGAAGCAGGCATTGGATCTCCCGGAGCTGGAGTTAGAAATTGTATAAGATGCCCAACATGAATCCTGGGAACTGAGCTCAGAATCTTTAGGCAAACTGTAAATGCTCTTAACTGCTGAGCCATCTCTCCAGCTTAAGATTTGTTAAGTTGAATAACCTTCCTTCAGGAAACATTTGTTCGCTTGCCTTTTAGATATATAACTAGTGGACGGCTTGTCCCAGGTGTTACCTTCTCCTCAGAGAGATCATTATTTATGATCACTAAATTGCATGGTTTGCTTACTTTAAAAAAATAGAATTTTTTATGCTTTACCTTCTTACTCAAACTATTAAAAGCATGCAGGAGATATTCATATAAAGAAACTTTGCTGCACATTTTTCCCAGGGAGAGTAGACTTTATTTTTTAAAGCTGAAACATGCTCCTCAGACAAACTTCCACCTACACTGTAAACTGGAGTGCCTAAAGAAAAGCCAGCCAGGGCAGGTGAACTTTCACCTTCGTGCATGCGTGAGAATGTCCAGATGGGCTGGGGCCGGGTGTGGGTGGAGGTTGGGATGTTTCCTCCCATTTCTTCTTCCAAAGCTGCAAATGACCAATTTTCCTAGGAAAATTGAGGGCTAGTTAATAATACTGACAAGACACTGACCTGAATTTTATGTACATACATTTCATATACATACATACATACATACATACATATATTGTTACGGTCTTCTGGCCTCGAGTCACCCACCACTACCCCTCATGGGACCGTCCCCCCCTTGTATCTTTAAAAAAAGAATAACATACATATAAATATATGTATGTGTATAAAATTTTATGTGTCCAGCAATCCAGGTAGGTAGCTTTGTTCCTTATACCATCCAAGGACTAGGTTTTGGTTGGTGTGTGCTGGCTAGTTTTATGTCAGCTTGACCCAGGCTAGAGTCAATTGAGAAAAGAGAACCTCAATTGAAAAAATGTCCCCTAACAAGCCTATGCTGCTTTTTTGTTTTGTTTTGATTGATGAGAAAGTACCTAGCTCACTGGTACCACCCCTGGGCTCCTGGTCCTGGGTTCTATAAAAATGTAGGCTGAGCAATCCATGAGGAGCATAGCTTGTCAGCAGCACCCCTTCATGGCATCTATATCAGCTCCTGCCTCCAGACGATTTAAGTCAAGACTGTGTTGGTAGATGGGCCGTCAGTCTCTTAAAGCCGTTTGTCTCTGGCCATTATTGGGGCATGTGCTGTCGACGTCACAGTCTTTCGGTGTCTTCCCAGGGCCTTTCCCTCCACTCTTTCCGACTTTAGGGGCTGGAGGGAATCTTTAGGCAAGCCATTGCAACATGCTTTTCTGTGAACTCTGAGTGGTGCATTAGGTCACTTCCTGCAGCAATTTGTTTATCTCTGGCCCACAGGAAGTCTCTTTAACAACATGCACCTCCTGGGAAATGTGACTCTGTGATGAGTGTCGAGAGCTTAGTGTTTATTCTTACAAATATTTGCTGGTTCCCAAGTTCAGTATTAGATCAGCAGCGTAAAACTTATACTTTGTTGTTAAAGTGAGATGAAGTCCTGTGATCCTTTTTGGCACTAGCTGAGGAAATGTCCTTGATGTACATGACTCTGATCTGGGACATGAGGTTCTTAGATAGAATGCTCTACATGAAAAGATTATGTGATTTGAGGCATGTGATGAGTATTTAAAATGTGGGCTCTTGTTTTTCAAGATTATTATGTCTTGTGTATAAAATAAATATTTGTTTAATAAATGAAGGGCTATTCGTTTGGCAGTATTAAACATGATTTCTTCAGGTGTAGTATCAACCTATAAAATGTGTGACAGTTTTTTCCTATCTTGTGATTAGTAATATAATGTTTATCTTTCTGTAGATAAATGCATAGATGTTATAACTTTCTAAGAGAAAGGCATCCCCCCCCCCAATATTGTATTATAAAAATATCCGCGCACAAAAAAAAATAGAACTGTTGGGTCTTGCAGTGAGTACCCATACACTTACCTTCCAGCTTCTGTCATTGTTTTATTGTTTACTTATTACATAGCTGTGCTTCTGTTCACAACCAGTCTGCCTAAATTACATTTCAAAACAAATTACAGGTGTGTCCATACACATCACGTGTACATTCTTAGAAGCAGTATTTTTCTATACTTGAGATTGGGGTGTAATATTGTGTGTGTGTGTGTGTGTGTGTGTGTGTGTGTGTGTGTGTGTGTAATTTATATATAAATCCCGAGAATCCCATTACTTTTGGTAAACACATCCTCCACGTTTGTAACCTGGAGCTACATGAGCACATAGGCTATAAGCATAACTGTGAAAAGTCTCCTCACATGACTCCCTTTTCAGTGGCCATTCAGCCCTCCAGAAGAAACACAAAAGATGTTTTTTCTCTGATTCAGAAAGTCATATAAATGGGAGCTGAAGAATATTGTTTCTCCTACACAACCCTGGGAGTGGAATTCTTAGTCATACAAGAAACTGGCCACCTCTCTACCGTTCTCACTCATGATGTGTGTGAATCCCAGTCACTCTGCATCCTTAGTAACAAACACAGTTGTTTTAATGTTAACGTTTCTGGTATCCATGCAGTGTTATCTCATTATGGTTTTGATTTGTATTTCCTGACAACTAGTGATATTAAACAGATTTTCACATGTCCATTGGCAAGTTATGTGTCTTCCTGAATAGTATGTCTGTTCATATCTTTGCCCATTAAAATAATTGGATTATTTGTTGATATAGAGGAGTGGATGATATATATCCTGGATACTGCTCCTTTGTTAGGTTCATCATTTGCAAATGTTTTCTCTTTCATCACTTACGTAAATGTGTCTTGGTTAGCTAACATGTCTAATTCGATGAGATAACTTAACAGACTCTTGTTCAACTTACTGCTTTGTGTGTCTTCCTGTTTGCTTTTCTGTGCCTGTGTTGATGTTTTGCTTTAAAGGTTCATCGTTTTTGGCTTTTATTTTGAGGATTAAGCTGTATCTCAGTATTATATTTATAACTTTAACAACAGCTTTGTGGTTTACTTAGGAAGATTCAATCCTGACTGTTTTTAGAACTATGTAAAGATCTTAAAAAGTGGGGTGGAAACACCTGGCTGTGCCTGCTGGCCAGCAAAATTAGAATCTTGAGTTAACTTTTTTTCTCACCTCTAAAATGGAAATAAGAATATTTACTAAATCAAATAATAGGAAGAATTAAAAGGGATACTATATCTAAATCACTTGTAAAACCTCACGTGAAAAACATGCTGTACAAAACTACCAAGGAACTTATAAAATTTTTAAAATAAAAAATAAAACCTCACATTGAAGTAAGCACCTAATAATTATGTTCAAATTCATATCATAATTATTTAATAATAGTAATAGTTTCCAAGTTTTTATATGTATAATGTCCTTTTATTTAGGCCTTTCCATTAATTTAAGCAAAACAGTGTCTTTGGACCATTTTATGACCCACCTTCTGCCCTCAAGTGGAGCTATCTATTTAGGGTCATTGTGTGTACCAAGCAGCCACACTCATGCCCATTTACTGCATAGAGTACTCGTAGGGACTTTAGCTACCTTGACTGCTTTTGCAAATTTTCAGTATTATACAAAGTCTAAGGGAAAAGATAGTGGTAGAGGTGGAGGAGGTAGGTGTATGTTTTCCAATTCTACATTCAAGATTCAAAATAAGCATAAAAGCTCAAAGAAGAGATGGTTTATTGGTCAGCCACACGTGTAGACTCAGTCTCAGTTTCTCCAATATTTCTTCTCCTACCTCTTACTGTACGTTCTCAGTCCCTTCTATTCTTTTTACTCTTTGTTCTTAACATTTGATGCAGCAGAGTAGGTAGAAGGGCTTGAATTATGTCAAGACCCAAAATAGCTAGTTTCTAATTCCACATAAATCAAATATCAAGAATTGAAGCCATAGTACCTTCCTCTAGACCAGTGGTTCTCAACCTTCATAACACTGCAGCCCTTTAAAACAGTTCAAGTTGTGGTGCCTTCCAACCATACAATGATGTTATTGCTACTTCATTACTGTAATTTTGCTACAAGGTATCTGATATGCGATCCCTGTGAAAGGGCCATTCAGTACCCAAAGGGGTTGCAACACACAGGTTGAGAACTGATGGTTTAGGCAAATATTTTGGGATCCATGATCTCTTTAAAGAAAAACTAACATACGGAAGTGCTTTTAAGGAAGACCTCAGATTTTAGGCTTAGAACATCTTATTAAAGAGGTTAAAAGTGCTTTCTCTCTTCTTATAAAAAGTAGAAACACAGTGTGGATAGGGTGTAGTAAATAGTGAAGTAATAGTTTCATGTCTTATTTTATATATCTCTAAGATTTTATATCTTACACTTAGTGGATCTAGGGACTAGAATTTTCTTCAGAAAAGAGTTTGAGTTTCTAAGAATCTTGTATTTCTTCAACTCTGTATTAACTATGACTTAGACAGTGCCTTTCCATAACTAACACAGAAGACCCAAAGACCACGAATTTATGTCCTGAATACCAGAGAGGCCATGTCTTCATGCCAGCACCCAGGAGGCTTAGGTCAAGGATCTAGAATTCAAGGTCAGTCTTGCACCACACAGGGAGATCCTGTCTTAACAGAAAGAGGAGGCAGCATTCTTATTAGATAGAACGGTGTGGCTAAATGTCATGCATCTGTTAGGGTGATATAACTACTATAGAAAATGCATGACCATATATGAAGCTGACTTCTGGTTAGGGAACTCACAATTTTCTTTGTTCTTTTTATTACATTTTTACATTTATTTACTTATTTATTTTGGGGGTGTGTGTGTGTGTGTGTGTGCATGTCCATGCCATGGTACTTGGGTAGAGGTGAGAAGAAAACTTGGAGAGACAGTTCAGTCCGTCTGTCCTTCTAACCCTGGTCACTATTGGCCAAATGTGCCTTTGCCTGCTGAGTCATCTCACCATCCCACTCAAAACTTTCTGTATAACAGGACTAATAAAAGGGCATAGTAAAATTGGGAAATGCTTTTGAAGATATATAGAAGTCTTGGGGAAAAGTAATATAAAGCTTACTTTAGATTAAATCAAGTTATTATTATCCTTAGTTATATAATGATTAAGCTTAGTGTTAATTTGTAGGTTTTATTCTGTTTTTCCTGTAAGTAATGACCATAAACTAATGATAATGGGATAATTTAATAAAGATATTCAAGTGAAAGAATAGGGTTCTATGTGACCCTTACTCTTACCAGGAATGTAAGACTGAAGACATCAAGTAGTTGCCTTGAAGACACTTTGTCATGTCTCATTGAGAACTAAGTTAGAATAAACATCAGGAAGTGTCAGAGTCTGTGTTGAGGACAGTCTTGTCAGATTTTTGCCTTTTAAAAAGTATGTGTGGGAGCTAGAGAGATGGCTCAGCCATTAAGAGCATTGACTGATCTTCCAGAGAACTTGGGTTCTATTACTAACGCTCACATGGTGGCTCACAACCATCTTTAATTCCAGTTCTATGGGATCTGGTGCCCTCTTCTGGCCCCCATGGGCACCTGGCATGCATGTGCACAGACATATTCCAGCAAGACACCAAATACATAAAATAATTTTAAAAAGATAGATGAGGACAGATTTTTCTCATTTTGTTTTAATATTGTACCAAAAGATAGATACATTTTTTTAAGAGTTTGATTTAGAGTTTTGAATTGGAGCTGGGAATATAATTCAGTGATACAGTTCAGGCCCAATTGTATCATTTAACATGTAAGACCTAAACTCAGTTCCTAGCGCGCGCGCGCACACACACACACACACACACACACCTACCAAGAGTAAGTTGATGAATGGGACTATTTTATTTCTTCTAGAAATGTCCTTTTCAGACTGGGTGCCAAGTGGAAAAGACTGGGAGGTGTTTCCATACTGAAAACAACTGTCTTTCAAAGAACAAGCCTTAACTCAGAACCTTTGTTTCCTACAGTGTTCCTCCTTAGTGTTTTAGCCCAGGCTATCCTGAAATTCCTGAGCTTCCTGCTTTATCTTCTAAGTGCTAGGATTACAGGTTATATATCATTATGTTCCACCAATAATTTTATTTTAAGATAATTCCTCTTGCCCATTAGGAGGTACCTGATGAGGCAGTTTTATTTTGCCTATTGAACCAGTGAAGGGACTCTTAGATTCTAACTAACATCAAGATCTTGTTCTCATAGGGTTTTTAAAAGGCGACTGAAATAACACAATAGGATTGTTTAAATCAAAGTAACCTGGATTCGTGTCTTGATTTGCTGTTAACTGTTCAATGTTCTGTGTAGTATGTCTAATAAAAACCCAGAGACAGATATTGGGGTTCAACCTGAAGGTCAGAAAAGCAAAACAGCCAACCACTGAGACTTTACCTCAGTCTGAAATGGCGATCCTGCCTCCAGGAATCTCAGAATGAGACTGTCTGAGAACTGTCTCCTCCCGTTTTCTATTCCTCTCTAGTGCTGGGATTAAAGGCCTGCACCACTACTACCAGATTCTGTGGCAAGCTAGTGGCTACTGGGATTAAAGGTGTGTGTCACCATTGCCTGGTCTGTAAGGCTGGCCAAGATGGCTGTTTTACTTTCTGATCTTCAGGCAAACTTTATTTATTAAAATACCAATGAAATGTTACTACAGTTCTGGGTCTCAACTTTTCTGACCTGTCAGTGTCTTTTCTCTCCATTCATCTCACACTATCTAAAAAGCACCCCAGGATATTGAGCTTTTCAGAGTGAAGGTAAGCAGATGCCCAAAGTGTAGAGAGGTGCCGTTCACAGGTGGTGGTGTGCCTTGTGTCACAGGCACTGTTTAGGCTTTAAAAAGACGCCAACTTCAGGGCTGTTTTCCATCCCAGTGAGGAAACGGCTCATTAGTTCTTGTGTGTCTTAACCTCTTTAAGAGTTTCTCTTAAAAAATATGTCTTCCTTTCCCTTTTTGTTACGTTTCCAGTTGTTGTGTGTATGCATGGGTGTGTGTGCCGTGCCGTGTTTGTGGAAGTTAGAGAACAGCTTGTCCTTCAGTTAGTCTTATGAAGACCCTGCTCCAAAGTCTGCGGGCTCAGCATCGCTACCTCTAATCCCATACTCGGGAGGAATGGCATTTGCTGTGAGTTTAAATTTTGTGAGTTTAAGGCCAGTCTGATCTACATGGTGACAGCCAGGGCTTTACAGTGAGAGCCTATTTTAAAGATTTTCTTTAATGTCACCAAATTAAGGGTATTCTGCGTGCCTTTGCTTCTTTCTTGTTCCTTGTCTAATGAAAACCCAAAATAACCTTTTAGTTTTTTGTGTAATATGAAATGGAGTCAATCTTTCCTTCACTAATAATGTTGTGTACTTGATATCTCTCACTAAGCAGAGAATGTCAAGCTTCTAGAACAAGATTTGCATGATTCCTCTTAGGTACTAGAGTTTAACCAGGAAAGGAGCATTATCACCTTATTAAACACCCTGTTAGGATTATTTTATGTGATTTGGCTTCAGAACACTTAACCAAGTCTCACTAAGATGAAAAATAGTAGCGTGCAGACTTTTGGTGGGATTAAAACTATTGGGCAGTTTCGTAAGTAAATAACAGTCATACTTGGCTTTGAAATAGTGAATTCTCAACCTTATTGTAGCTGTACAGGCTGACTTGTTTCAGTTTGATATTGTAAAAACCTAGTATGAGCTTACTTAGAGTTTCATACAGCAGAAACCCTAGAGACTAATGAATGGTTTTCCTCACTTTGGTTGATGGTGGGTTGAAAGAACTAAACTAAGAATTGTTTTTTTCTCCACCAAAAAAATTTAACATGTCTTCTGTATAGTCTAGTGCCTTTAGTAAAATGACGAAGTTATAAATCTAGAACATTACTCTATTGGAAGCCAGGAGACTTAGAATCTAACTGAAGTCATGGATTTGAAAAAACGATCAGCTGAAGTCTGTTATTAATCTTGCCTGTGTCCAGTCAACTATGAAGCCTTGGCTTGGTCTGTCAGAACAGGATATCTTCTTGGTTGTGTTGGCTTCAACACTGCTCTCTCTGTTGCAGCCTGAAGAAGAGCAGTTGCTTTGTGACAGCACAGGATCCAGTTCCTCTACAGATGACGCAGCTTCCCTGGATCGGCACTCTTCTCATGGCAGCGATGTGTCCCTTCCTCAGACTTCAAAGTTGAATAGGTCCAGGAATCATCAGGGCTCAAATGGCTTTTCCAGCCATGGCGTGGGACCTGAGCGTCGAGAGAGCGAGAGTGAGCCTGCTGGCTCTGGTGAGATGGAGGAGGAAGAAATGGACAGCATCACTGAGGTGCCTGCAAATCGCTCTTTCCTGCGGAGCTCCATGCGCTCTCTTTCCCCCTTCCGGAGACATAGCTGGGGTCCTGGGAAGAATGCAGCCAGTGATGCAGAAATGAACCAGCGGAGGTAAGATGAAACCTGTGCATTTCATAACTCAGTCTGTGTTCTCTTTTGGGAATGATCTGCTTTATTGTTACTGGATTAAAAAAAAAAAAAGAGGAGACAGGTCTCTTTTCTCTAAAAGGTAATCCAGGCTTGGCAACCAGGCAAAGGTGTGTTCTGACTCCACCCTGGGCAGCCTGAGCAGTGTGAACTTTCCTTTCAATACATTTGTGATAATGTAAACTATTACTGTCAAATAGTGAGTATTTAGTAAATAATAAGCCTGATCAATCAGTGAAATTCATGAATCTGGAAGAGAGAATTCTGTTAACTTATGAAATCTTACTCATGAATCTGGAAGAGAGAATTCTGTTAACTTATGAAATCTTACAGTCTCAACACATCTGACTGGTGTGGTGTTTCCTGAGGATCACAGCCATATGTTTCTGATACAGAAATTTGATAATGTCTAAATTATCAATATGTAATTCCCAAGAGGACACAAGATGCATACACTAAAATTGTTGGTTTTTTTCCTATGTGTCATACAGTTTGAGGAATTTTTACAAGTTTTACCCAGCTTTGTCCCTCAGTTTGGCAGCAGCCTGTAAGAAGTTGGGTTGGCTTCTGACCTCTTGACTTTAATTCTACAGACCTATATTGTAGCATCTAACAGGTTGCAGGTGTGCTTGCCCCGGAGCTGCTTTACCTGGCTAAAAAGATGCTCTCAGCCAGGAAAAGAGGGTGCTGCTTGTTTTTAGTTTTGACTGATTTTTGAAATAGCGTTTTACTATATAGCTGTAGCTGACATGGAGCTCATTGTTTAGTACAGGCTAACAATTAACTCCAGACAGTTCTCCCTAGCTTAGTCTTTGAATTTTTGAGCCTGCAGACAGGAGCTACCTTACTCAGTTACTGATAGTTGCTTTAAAACAATTGTTATAAATAATGCAATTATTTTTTTCCTTCCTCATTATATTAAGACTAAGTACATGTAATCTTAATCAAATTGTCAGGGTTTTGTTGTTGTTGTTATTTTGAGACAGAGTCTCGTGTAGCCAAGGCCAGCCTGAGTGTCTCTATATAAGGCAGACTTAGCCTCCTGATCCTCCTGCTTCCGCCACCCAAGTGTTAAGATAACAGGCACTCACCGCTTCTTTTAATTTTTTAATATGTATGAGTGTTTTACCTGAATATGTATCTGCACTATGTGTGTGCATGGTGCCCAAGGAGACCAGAAGAGGGCATCATGTCCTCTAGATCTGGAGTTACAGACAGTTGTAAGCCACAGTATGGGTGCTGGGAATCAAAATCCAGTCCTCTAGAAGAACAGCTAGTGTTTTTAATTACTGAGCTATTTTTCCAGACATTCGTTTATTCTTTTAATCAGCCAACACACATTGAGCTTTCTTTTTAGGTCTGGCAGTATCATAGGTTCTAGAGAAATAGAGGTAAACAAGATATTACTCCCTGCCCTTGCAGAGCTCAGAATCAAACTATACTTCACTGGTTTGCCCATTTTTTTTTCAGACTCTTTTCATAGCAAATTGTCTTACATTGTTTTTTAATCTTCTCCATGATAATATAAAGGTGTTGTTTTCCCATAGTTGCCAAATAGAAGACTGTTATGGACACTTTGCATCATCTACAGTGGAATCTAGGTTTCTAATCACAGTCAGATCTTTGTACAATCTCGTATTATTCCATGGTATTAGGATAGAAGTTAAAATAATAAGCTACATTGTGTTTATATCCTTTTGAAATCTCAGGTTATATAAAAACTAATTTCTAAATGCTTTCCTTCCCAGTTTTATACATCCTTTTTCCTTTTAAAATAGTGACAGAGACATCAGGAATGATTTTGAATCAGAAATTACTCCCTGAAGCCCGAGTAACTTCTTGATAGGATTCCTGAGATGACAAAGAGCTGACTGGGGATGGGGGTTCATTTTATGTATAACTCACCAGAGACCTGTTCTTAAATAACTGATTTTAGAGTCATTTTTAATCATGTAGCTCAGGTGGAAAAAAATTGAAGCCAGATTTAATGATTTGCCCAAGATTTCTTGGTGATCTTAGACTTGTTACCTATTTGTATTTTCAGCCTGTGTATCATGTTTGTTTAAACTTAGTATAAAAGAACTATCTGGTACTGTCTTAATAGCTTGAGAGGCAATGGAATAGCAGTTAGGTTTTATCACTTTAATAGCTTGACTAGTTTGTATATTATTGTATATTTTATTATCTGAATTTTAAAGCCTGAAGAAAACCCCTTTAATGTGTTGAATGGCGCTTTTCTCTGAGCCATGTATTTTGTCACTTATGCTAATCTCCATGACTCATCATCCAGTTAACTCTTTAGAGTACAGAGGGAACAAAAGCTACCTTTTTGTCAGGTGTTTAGGGTTCTGATATTTGTATCATTTCATTCTTTTGGTTTCTTCCCTCCTGTGCTGTTTGTCCTTGGGGAATATATTTCTTCCAGGTGTGATCTCTGTGTTTTGTGTATTTGTGTGTCATTGTGATTCACCTCCCTTATTGACCTCTTCCATCATTCATTTTCAGTTCAATGCAAGTTCTTGGGGATGTTGTCAGGAGACCTCCCATTCATAGGAGAAGGTACAGAGTTCACTAAATTGAACTAACCATGTCATCTCTGAGTGTGTACTAACAAGCATCTCATTCTGGTTACCTGACTGGACAACATTTTTAAACATATTATTTATTTCTTGTGCAGCCAAATAAAAAATATAGGTGCTTCTTAATTGCTATGTCTACCTGGTAGGAAATAGTCTCTTTAGTCTAAAGTCTTTTTCTAGTTCTAAATTTATAATATACACACCCACTTACTGACTCAGATGGCTTTGAGATAAGGTCACACCTGACTTTGTGTGTTTTGTTTGTTTGTTTGTTTTGTTTTCATGTTGTAACTAACTAATGGACTTTGGGGGAATGCTTCCCTCTGAAACCAGAAAAGAAAGAGAATAGCCAGAAATTCATTTGTGGTCACTCACATATAGGTCCTAAAATATTTTCAATACATTCTTGAATAATATGAAGAAGGATTTTTATTAGGTGACCACCTGGTAGTTTTCATTTCATTGTGGACAGTCTTTCAGAAAGCAGTGAGGCATAGGCTGATACCTTTTTTGAATTGCTTAATTATTATTTATCAAATAAAAAATAAAACTTTCATGTATAAGCCAAAAGCTGATTTCTAATTAAACATAATCAGTTGCTTCATGTTTTAAAGACTTTTATTGTATAGCGCTATTATTGACTTTTCTCCATTGTTTAAAAAATCATTTAGAAATCAGAAAATTGTGGTGCATTTCTTATATAAAGAGACGTTTGCAAATATACTTTTATCTATTTACAGAATATCTGTGAGAAAGGCAAAATAGTAATCTTCCTACTTTTTTTCTCTATCATTTTTATGTGTGTCGACCTTTAATTCCGTAATTTAGAAGTTTCAATCTTAAATTCTAACATTTTCATGAACCTAAATGGTTTTGATATCAGCTAGATTGGTAAGCAAATTATTAAGTACCTTTTTCAGTAGACAATATGTAAAAGTTTTAGAAATGTATTTGTTGCTGTCTCTGGTAAAAGCTCTTTATTATGAACTAACTGAAGCCTGTGCTAGATTACATGATAAAGAATGACAAGTTGCTGCCTGCAGCCCAAACTGTACACACCAGACTCATGGCTTGAGTTTACAGTATGTTTTAAGTGAAAAATATTTTTGTACAAAGAGCATGATTCATAATTTTAAAATTGAAACATTTCGACAAGAAGAGAGTTGTTCTCAGAACAACAACAAAAACTGTACCTCCTAAATTTTAAAGCCAAAAGATCTTATGATTTTGGAGGCTCTCAGAAAGAAATGCACTTTTATTATGACAGGAGTCGGGGAAGGCTTAGACCAATTGCAGCTTGTCAGAGCCTGTGAGACTCGTATGGCTCTTTTCCTGTCCTGTTCTGCTGAGGATGTTGGCACAAGCTTTTAGTCCCAGCAGTCTGGAGGCAGAAGCAGGCAAATCTCTGAATTCAAGGCCAGCCTGGTCTACAGGTCTAGAGTTCCAGGACAACAGGTCTACACAGAGAAACCCTGTCTCAGGAGGGCAAAAAGGAAAGAAATGAAATCAGATACTTAGGTATCCAACTGGAAGTGTAATATTAAATTAATAATTCAAAGAATAGACTTCTGAGCCTTATAAATGTTTGAAAATTATGTTTTATTTCTGTTCACATAAGTTTGAGTCAGTCTAATCCTTCTTCTCAGATGAGAGATTACTCAAACTGTATATTGTTTTTTCTTTTGTGAACCTTACACTGTTATTTAATCAGAGTTGAACATTTGTGTACCATTTGGAACAGCTGTGGAGGAAATTGTCATAGCATCCCACCATTTTCCTCACCTCAAGTCTTGTCCACCAAGCAGAGTTGTTGGAGATTTTGGATGCTGAGGCCCCTGTGTGTTTCTGCTGGTGTCCATGACCTTTCCGTTCTCTTTGTGTAAGATGAAAGACTTAGTTATAAGGCCCCCAGAGCAGTATTTTTAGGTGACCACGCCTTGGAAATATGTCTCAAGTAACTAAACAAATAAAGCAAACAAACAAAGATTCTGACCTTTTGATCTAGTTTGGTCATAAAGTACCTGCGTATAATATGTTTTAACCTTTTCTCCCTAGATTTTCCTCCCCTGCTATCTCACATAGGACAAACAAGATAACAACTGCTCACATGGCTGTTTTTTTAATCTTAGGGGAAATAAATACAAAATTAAAATTTTAAAGGCATTTCCATCTTAATGCCATAAAACTCTAAGAAAAATAAATCTGCTTATCAGTTCAAAACTGTAGGGAAGGTATGGCCTTTAATGGAGCTGCCTCATTTTAAGCTGAAAGGCCTAATGAATGCTTCTAAAGAAGAACTATGAGTTGGATATTGTATAAGGTGCTACGTGGCTTATCTGGATCCGTAATGGGAGCATATGAGGAAAAAATACTGATTTTTCAGTGACACCTCTAAGCTGTTTGTAGTGTTTCCGTTTGACTCAGGCCTAGGAACGACTGTCCAGAGTCAAGGGATGTGGGAGCAATGATGAATACAGAGAGACACTTGGCCACAACAGAGGTTTTGAAACACCTAGGAGAATGTCTGCAGAGGAAGCCATGAGTGGGGTGCACTTTTTGCCAAGGGATTAGTCGAAGGAGCTCTTTAGTTTGAATTGAGTAGTTATCCTATAAAGAGCACACATGACCTTTCCCATAACACTGAGTGGACATCAACTGCACAGTATTAAATTCCTGAGGTTTTTTTCCTAGTCTTTTCCTAAATTCTCGTTGTTGCATTCCTGTTTTTTTATAAATGATTACATAAGTCTATCTCTGTGTCCTTTCTTTTTAAACTGAATAACCCAAACCTGTTTCCCCTTTTCTCCCTCCATTTCTTGTTTCTGCCTTTGATGTCATCTCCAGTATGAGCTGGTGTCCCTCTGGTGTGCAATACTCGGCTGCCCTGAATGCTGACTTTAATTTCAGAAGGTATAGTATTACATGTCCAGCCACCAAACCAGGAACTGTAAAGTAAGACTTCTGGCCTTGGGCTGTAGCTGGCTTCTCTGTGGCTGGAATGCACATGGGCAGAAATGCATATGATATCTATGAGCCTAGTATACTGCTGCCTTCGCTATGGATGCCACTAACCCATTTGCAGGAGTGGCCTAGGAAAGTACCTACTACTCTGTCGTTTGTCTCTAGCAAAAGTTGCTGTGTTTCTGCATGAACCTTGTGTCTGTGCTGTAAGCCCTTGTCTTTGTTTTCTTCTTTCCAAGTTCCCAGATTCTTAAGAAAACAATGAATCAAAACAACTAATAGGCCCTGGTTTCTATTATATTTCCAAGTTCTACATTTAAGTTCTTAATTTAGATACCTCATCATTTTATATTTGTCTTTGAGTTAAGCAGACAAATTTAATTATTAAAATTTTCAGAATTAAGTTTTGTAGTAAGTGGAGATCACGTTTTCTCAGGCTTTACAGATAATCACAGTGGAAAACTAAATTTCTTCACTTGGCTAAACTTTCTTCTTATGCCTGGTGTTAAAAATGGGTTCTACATAGACATTTAGTTTCAGTTCATTGTGACTTCTATTGTCAATTGAAATAAGAGCAACAAATTTGTTAATCGTTTACCCATTAGAGACAATAGAGACATATGGGTTCAGTTCTTAAGTAATCTATGAAGAAAAACCCTTTGGGGCTGGAGTCTTTGGACCTAATTGTAGCAATTAACTGTACAGTTTTCCCAGAACAGAAGTAACTGTGCAGCTTCAGTATACATCCAGATACAGTTCCAGCTGAGTAACTGAGAACACAGCTACAACTGTATTCTTCTTTCAAAGACGCTCCCTCTGTAGCTACAGCAGATGTGTGCATTATTCTAGCTAGCGACTCCAAAGAGAGTAGACAGCTAGCCTTCCTCCTTACCCTCTTACTTTCACAAAGTAACCTCCCTTTTTAAAATTCCACACCCTGTTTGCTTTTTCAGCATTATTTTTTATGTGCCTGTCTACAGCTGATGATTCTCACTAAGCCATCATCAGGAACTGTCTGACCGGATGTGCACAGATGGTATTGCTTATTAGAGATACCAGGGTTTTCTGGGTAGAAGTATACCCAGAAAGTTGTCAACCAAAATATAATTGAGTATAAAGTTTTATAATGGTCCATGTGACGAGCACGCGGCCGTGTCACTCACTTTCCATTCTCAAAGCTCCTTATGATTGTGCTTTGTGACATTTGGCATTAAATGAGCTAGAGTCTGGGAAGATTATTTTGATCACATCGATGAAAACCGATACGTATCTACAATATGAGATAAATTCGTCTGTTGATATGGTATGTTGAAAAACAACTGAGAAAATGATATCTGGCTCAACATTTAGATAAGTCGAAAGAGGCGGGGACGTAAACGTGTCTGGTGTTCTTTCTCAGCATCCAGGACCACTGGGGCTGAGTGGTGCTCATCTGCCCTGTGTCCTGTACACATTTTGAGCAGGAGACACAGGAATAGACACAAGTTAGAGGGATTTTTGTTTCCTCCCGTCCTGAGAACTACAAACAATGAATGAACTCTTGTGCCTTGTGTTCAGTTTCAGTCTGGAAGGCTTGACAGGAGGAGCTGGTGTTGGAAATAAACCATCTTCATCTCTAGAAATGAGCTCTGCAAACTCCAGTGAGCTCAGAAACCCTTTCTGTGGCGAGGAACAGAGAGACTCTCTGATGTCACTTTCAGAAGAACATCTGGAGCCAAACCAGAGACAGCATCATAGGATGTTTGATCAGCAGGTAAAACTAAAATAGGTATATATTGCTAATAGGGGTGGTAGTGGAACATTGCCCCCAAATATGATCTCATTGATTTAACACTTTTTAGTAGTTTTAGTATAAAGCTAGAAATGTGATTACTTACCTACTAAATGATATCTTCAGGTCTAGAAATAATATGTTTTTTAATCACTAAACATAAATACTTAAGAATACATTAATCAGAACTGGAGAGATGACTCAGTGGTTAAGAATACTTACTGATCTTGCAGAGAACTGGCATTTGGTTCCCAGAGCTCACATATAGTGACTCACAGCCATCCCTAAGTCCAGTTCCAAGGATCTAAGGCCTTCTGACCTCCAGGGGCACCAGTCATAAGTTCAGTACACAAACATACGTTCAGAAAAGAACACTCTATACAAAAATAAATAAGTATAAAAGTACTATTTTCAAGAAATAATACATTAATATACACAGATGTAAATATTCCATCATAACAAATGTTTTAGGATTGGGAAAGTGTTCAGGGCATGCAGCTTCCTTTATCTGTCTGTGTTGTTCTTTTACCAGCTCGTTGTAAATTGAGTTTTAAAGTGTATTGCATGTCATTATCACATTTACCAATTTTAAAGTTCATGCTCCCAAGTTTATTTACTAGAGAAAACATGTTCTTTGTCTCAACTACACTGTTCAAGAAATACCTGTTGATTCCCTTCCTTAACTGTAAGAGCTCCAAGCCACTACGAGTGAATTGTCTAATGCCACATATCATTTGGCTGAACAGTACAAACTCAGACTTGTTGACTTTTGGGTTTATTGCTTCTTTCCATGACTTAAAAGTAGACAGGTTTTAAGGAGACTACTTTAATTTTCTTAACACTATTTGTGTGACCTTTTCTGAGGTGGATTATTTCCAGAAATCTGACAGATGACCCTGTCTTTTGTACCACTGTTACGTTTCTGATTTAATCTTTCTAGATAAAGTCAACATTTCTCGATAAACATCAGCATTTTTGTGGTGTCCTGTGCTGTGCTGTGCTGTGCTGTGCTGTGCTGTGCATGGTCTTTCTAGAACCTTCATCTTACCTCTAGTTCCTCTTGAGCACAACCTCAGTGTGGGTGTTGTGCTGCATGTATCTCTCTGATCTCGACTAGTTGCCTGCAGCCAACTTCCTCTTGAAAGTCTCTGCTGTTCGCTGAGGTCATTTTTCAGGCCTCACAGTTGTATTTGAAACATAGCAACCGTTTGTCTCAGATTCCATGGTTACACATGGAACAAGCGCTAAATAATCAGTCAGAAGTCTTTGGCCCAGCTGAGTGAGTGCTTGCTGAGTAGATGTTCAGTGTCTTTCTTAAAGAGGCAGATTTCATCTTGGAAGAGGATTAGAATGAGCTGTCTCAAAAGAAGTGTGAGTCCCTTATCACCAGAAGTAATGATTGCTTCAGGGGTGTTAAAAGGAGACTCTGCTTTTCTTTGGGCTACACAGCTTTTAAAATGCTGTGGATTTAAATTGCCAGCAGTACTGCCAAGAAAGTTGTTACTACATTGCAGTCACCCTGTGTTCATGTGGAATCAAAGAGGAAGTGAAAGGGGTTCAGCTCCTTCCCAAATGCATTGCTGCTTTGCTAATGCTCTTGAAATGCTGCTCACATCCCAGCCTCCAGCTCCTTATAATCAGAGTAACAGCATATCCTACTGTATGTCTGTGAATATGTTCTCATTTTTTTCAGAGGAGCAGTATTCTATATAATCTATTACGTCCGGTGAAGTTACCGGATTGTGTGCCCAGCAGATACCTACTGATCACTTACTCAATTTGAAACATTGTTAGATGCTCTGAGGGATGTAAACCACTGTGAATGACGAGTACTCATCAGTTTCGGGTGGAAAAAGGCAGACTTAGAAAAGCTGAGCAACTGTTAAGCAGCAGTCGTAGACTGAATTCCAAGTCTCCCTTTACCAGGTTGGGTCGGTGTAAATTCTGCACGTGTCTAAATATATGAACATGTACTTAGAACCCATTCTTCATTTTTTTTATTTTATAGACATGTCACAGGTCTAAACAACAGGGATTTAATTATTGTACATCAGCCATTTCTTCTCCATTGACAAAATCCATCTCATTAATGACAATTAGTCATCCTGGATTGGACAGTGAGTATACTACTTTTTTAAAAATGAATATATCTTAGCCACTTTTCCTATCATTTTTCTTACTTTTCATCTTACTAACTTCCAAATTTTGTCTGCTTCTCCTTTTGACTAACTGACTTCTTACTCAAACAGAAACAGAAATGCTAATGTAGAGATCAGCTTTCAGCTCTTCCTCTGGCTAAGAGTAAAATCTCTTTGATACATACATTGTTTCATTATATTGTGGGGTATAAATATCACACCATTCTTTAAAGGGCTTTGAAATAATTTCAGACTTGAAAAATGGGTAAAAATGGCTCTCCCTGGAAAAATACATGGCAAGAAAAATCCGTGGCAAAACTAATGTAAAGAAGCCTAGAGGTGATGCACACACCATTAATCCCAGCACCTTGGGAGGCAGAGGCAGACGGATCTCTGAGAAGACAGTCAGGACTACACAGAGAAATCTTGTCTCGAAAAACAAAAACAAAACAAAATTAGCATAAAGAATTTGTGTGTTCTTCCCTTCTATCCCTAAATGTTAGTCTAATTCTTTCTTTTCCAGAATACTTCCTTTATCATTCCCCTTCAGAGAGTAGGTTTCCTTACCTCTAAATAATTTAATGTTTCTTAAAAACAGACACTCTTTATTATATTAACATAGTTATCTGAATCAGGAAGTTAATGCTGACCAAATTGAACTAATATAGACAAATGTTCCATTTTTCTCACCTTTTCCTGGGTCCAGGATCCTACGTAAGAACAGATGTTGAAATAAGTATTCATGTCACAGTAGGCTGCTTAAATCTGTAAATATTTCTCAAGTGATCTTGTCTCTACTAAACTTGTCAGAAGACAATCCAGTCTGAGCACTCTGAAATGTCACACTCAGCAAACAGAACTGACGGATATTTTTACTTAAGCAAGTATAAGAGGATTAAGTCTGAAAGTATGGACAACCAGAATCTACAGACACAGGGCATTTGTGATTAAAAATGCTTACAAGTATACTTTGATTGTATAAATGTTTGTCACCAACTTGTTCCTTAAGACGCCTCCTTTTTATTATTAAGATTTGTTTATTTTATTTTTGTGTATGGGTATTTTGCTTGTATCTGTATCTGTGTATCACATGTGTGCTGCACCCACAAAGTCCAGAAGGGCATTGAATCCTCTGGAACTGAAGTTACAGACAGTTGTGAGCTGCCATGTGGGTGCTGGGAATAAAACCCAGTTCCTCTGGAAGAACAACCATTGCTCTCAACCACTGAGCCATCTATGTAACTCAAGGAACCTGTTTTAAAATTTATTTTTAAAGAGTAATTACAGTGTGATATCATGATACAAAGATTAAATCTAAAAAGGAATGATATAATACATGTTCTTCACAACAAGGCCAGCTATTCTGGAGACTAAACACAAGATCCTGGTGTCTATTGTATTTTTTTCAGTGTTCTCTTCAAATTTAATTCAAAAGAACTGGAGATTAACGTAGCTGTTCTTCATTAATGAAAGGTTCTGTCTTCTGTCTTGGCTGACTAGAGGTTTAATCTTAGAAGTTTTCACAGCGGAGTGATGACATGGAAGAGAGTTCTTTTGCTCTGTATCATGAACACCTGTGCTGAGATCCCAGCACCCACGTACAAGCTAGGCATGCTCTCATGCTTTCCTGGGACCCCAGCATGCTGTAGGAAGTGAAGGCAAGAGGACCGCTGGGACTTGCTGCCTTTCAGCCTAGCTAAGAAACATGAACTCGAGGTTCAAGGAAACCTTGACTCTAGTTTCCTGTGTGTACACACCTAAGCATAAATACACACACATGCACTTTTTAAGGGCAGTTGGGCCTGCTGTTCAGCGGTAGAGTTCAGTTCTTGTCGAGAATGCATGAGGCCCTTCCCCTCTCAAGTTCAGGGACTGCAGGCATACGTCATCACACTCAGTTTGCAGTCAGAGTTTCCTGAGGCAGTTTAACTCGTGCTTTATGTAAGCTCATAGAATAGCTGAGTGACTCCTTGTCACAGAAGCCCTTTGCCCTCAGTTCAGCTTCAGCTGCTAAGTCGGGATAACGTGCTGTGGCTGTAATGTGAATTAAAGTCTTAGTGTACTTCCTGTTGTATAATGGAGTTGTGTAGTTCACAATCACCCCAAATAGTGCCGAGGTCTTTTTTCCTGACTGTAATTTAAATAGTTTTAGAAACAAGGGCATCGTTCATCATGTTGGAAAGGAACCCCAAATTTTTGTAAATAATACTCCTAGTGTCACACAAACAGCAAAAGAAACTCAGGAAGAACAGTGACCTTGCCTGGCCAAGCAAACACATGGGGACAAAACAGTTCATTTCACCCGGTTGGTGGGAGCTCAACCTCCTAATCTGATTGATTGGTGTAGCTTTCATATAGGTACAAGGTATTCTCTCTGATTTGATAGAGGGCCTTAAGATTCCCAAAAGTCTGATAAAGGGAGAGTTCACGTATCTGTTTATTCAGTCCATATTTAGGTACCAACTCTTTGTTGTGTAATAAACTAGACAATGTGGAAGAAGGATGAACTTAACTGATAGTTTCTTTCTTGGCTATATTTACTACTTAGAGATACAAGAACAAGTTGACTCTAATAGAAAATAGTAAATGAAGCAACCAAAATAAACACTCAGTATTCTGGAAGTATCAGACCTCAGAAACTGGAGAAAGTTTAGACCAAATTAAACTAGGAATTGATATATGGAAATCTAAACTGAGAATTTAGGGTTTCTTCCCAAAGGCAGTTAGAATTATGTTGATTAGAACGCTTCAGATCAACCCCAATGGAAATAGTGTTGGGAAGAAAAGTCTTACAGATCAGTAGAAGGTTTCAGTAGGGTTCACAGTACAGCTGTTTCAGAATAGTGATCTCAGGAGAGAAGTTGAAGTTCAAAGAAGCCCAAATGAGGTATGCTGTAAGGATCCATTGATGGCACCCAGCTTTGTACCTTGAGTAATTAAGAAGATGTTAGATACCTCTTGGCTGGCAAAGGACTAGAGGAAGAGCAAGGCAGCAGGAAAAGACATATTCCGTATGTGTTTATTGGGTTTCAGCTCCCTGTGGAGTGTCCACCCACACAAAGGTGAACAAGGAGATGAATGAGTCTGATCCTGAAAGGAGAGCACTACCGTGTAGATTAGAGAGAAAGGAGACCCTAGTGTATTATGTGCATACACTAGGAAGAGGTAGACATGAAGTAGGAAACCTGGGATGAGTGAGAAAGGCAGTAAATACTGAACCCGGAGCAGCATCACTGTTGAATGTTGTCTGTACAGCATAAAGAAGTAAATGTCAAGCTATGAATTATGACTTTTAAAAATAGTTCGCTTCTTGCTTTCAAATCTAGCAAGTACATATATTTAGGTGATTTGTTAAACTGCATTACAATTTTCATATTCATAAATGATTATATAAATAAAATACGTTGTTAGCCGGGCAGTGGTGACACACAACTTTAATCCCAGCACTTGGGAGGCAGAGGCAGGTAGATCTCTGAGTTCGTGGCCAGACTGGTGTACAAAGCAAATTCCAGGACAACCAATGCTACCCAGAGAAAACCTGTCTCACAAAATCAAGATACATTCTTACATGCATGTATCCATACATTCATATATTCACAGATTGTTAATTTTGAGAGCCTTTCCTGAGATCCTAAAGGCTGTCGACACCATCCTGTTCCCACATAGGTTGGAGGTACCTTTTCTCTGTCCTAGCATAACTTTCTCGTCCTCTAATGTCTTTCTGTTAACTACTTCTCAGCTCAGCAGCAGACGAAGCCAGCAAGGTGGATCTCCTTTTCCGTCAGCGTTTCTCCACTCCTCTTTAAATCTAAAACTCTCTTTTCTTTTGGCTCTTCTTATTCCAGTGATGAGGAGGAGGAGTTGCATAGTAAGTAAGCTAATCTGGTGTCTAGTGGTTGTTCCCCAAAGTCTGGCTAGCTTTTAAATGCTATAGGCTTGCTACTAAAAGAATTAAATCATTTGAGGACTTTGATCCCCTTGTATGCTATCCTCTTTAAGTCTCTTGAATTTGCATGACTTTGCAAATCAATTTTGATGAAACCAGTTTTCTGTCATTATCTGTAAGTACTAACACTGATTGTTTCAGTACAGGGGTCTTTCCAGAATACAGGCATTGGGGGTGTATTCTCATCCCACTTCTACCCTGTATAATACAAGTGCTACTTTTACAAAACTTTCATCTTGACCACTTCAGTTTTAATTTCAATTACCCATTTTTCTCTGTGTCCTGAGACAGATAGCTAAGCCATCTATCAGTGACACCTAAAAGTTTCTCTTCCAGTCTTTTCATATAATTAAAACACAAAACTATGAGATTAGATTCCATAGGGTAGGAAATAAAAGTTATATATTTTTCTCGCTTTTTGTTCTTCTCAAACTCTATATTATGCCACACTCCAGTGAGCTACAGGTTTCAAATTAATAAGCTCTTAGTGGCACCTGGTATGAAAATATTTTGAGAAATCAGTTTTAGTAAACTTGAAATGCACCTGGGTATCCTTTTATTAGAAGACCTTGACTTCAATTTTGGAGGGCTTCTCAGATATTCTGGGACTTACATTTTTTTGTGGGAAAACTATTTCTATCATAAAGTAATGAATTGTTGTGTTAAAACTAATATGAGTGCCTAACACTTCCATCCATATAATTGTTCTTCTGCTTGCTGATCTGAAGTGGCAGCCATGTATAAAAATTATTGTGGCCACCACTTTGCATTGTCTTTTACAGGAAAGTGTCTGTGGCATAGAGATACGGTTTAGTTTTAAATTGTAGCCTCATTGGTGTTTGGCATATTTTTCACTATGAAAGATTCTTGGCAAAGAAACAATGAGATATTTACATTTTATCCCTTTTAGTAGGCAGAAAGTTCCAAAAATCCACCTCAACTTTGAGTGTTCAGAAGTTCTCAAATGTCTTTGGTCCAAACTATTTCTAGTACTATATCAAATAGCCAGGTTATGGTAACAAACCAAAACCTCAGTAGAACTTCATTATCACTAGGAACTAATTGTACTGGTCCCACTGGAATTTAAAAATATAGATGCAGAAGAGTATTTTGAGTCCAGGGTCTAGCATTTCCTAAAACTGTTCATTCTGTCCAAAAATACCAGTAAGAGTAATGGAGAGGGAGTAGTCTAACACATTGAGAAGCTCGGGTGAGCAGCTTTAAATACTAATCAGCACACTGTGGCATCCCAACGTAGTACTTGGTGTGCTGTACTTCCCAGATTTATTAACTAGGAAACCATAATAACGTGTAAGACCGTCTCTGCTCCATGAAACTCTTATTCTATAGAACACATTTTGTTGTTCTTTTATTCAATGATTAAAGCCCCAAATCCCTGAGTATGTAGTATATCTGCATGTTATTTTGTGTCTTAAAATTAAAATGTGGTTGAAATGTTATTTATCTGCAATAATATTTAAAGGGTTAGTGACAAGTTTGTTGTCTTCTATTTATAATTTTGTCATGGAAATGGCCATGTTGTTGCATACTTTTAAAGACTCTACACGTCAGGAATTTTAGAGGCACTAGTTTGAGTTACAGTGGTAAATTAATCCATTTTTTTTCAAAACACATGTAAGAAGTCATAGTAACTGAAATAAATTCTTTTTTAGCAATAAAACCATTGAGAATTCTTAGAGGTGCTACCGTAGATTCTCTTGCTACCTAATCGCATGTGTATTTAGTTTTCATCTGTTTGACAGAAATCAGCCAGTGGTTTATTTTTTTTCTTGGCCAAGTTTTTTGTTGGGTATTTTTCTGCAATAGGGATTCGACTTTTACTTTGTGTAGTTCACTAGAGTGGTGATTTAGTGAGTTACTTAAATGTACAGTGAAGTCCTGGCAGTCTGAAAGAACTGAGTATTTATATCATTGACGACTCCTGGGTGGGGAAAAGCCACTGTTTTAATCCAGGCTCTTGTTTTAAAGTTAACTAAGGTATCTTAGGTTAAAATGTTTATAGTTTCACAACTAGGTTCTGCAGAATTGGGAACCAGATCCTTCTTTCCAAGCTGCTGTTACCAACCATGGTAAATGTAATAGAAAAAACCTGTCTTGGTTAGGGTTTCTTTTGCTCTGAAGAGAAAACATAACCCCAGCAACCCTTATAAAAGAAAATATTTTGTTGGGTGACTTACAGTTTCAGTGATTTGCTTCATTATCATCATGCTGGGCCATGGCAGCATATAGACAGACATGGTGCTGGGCAAGGCTGACAGTCCTACATTTGATCCATAGGCAACAGGAAGTGAACTGAGCTAGGCCTCGCTTGAGCATAAGAGACTTAGAAACCCACCACACAGTGACACACCTCCTCCAATAAGGCCATACTTACTTCAACAAGGCCATACCTCCTAATATTGCCACTCCCTATAAGCTTTTGGGGGCCAATTACATTCAAAGTACCACATTCTACTCCCTGACCCCCACAAGCTTGTAACCGTATCATATTACAAAATGTAGTTAATCCAGCTTCAAAAGTCCCCATAGTCTATCACAGTCTCAATAATGTTTTAAAGTCCAAAGTTCAGAGTCTCTTCTGAGAGGCATAGCAATCTCTGTAACTGTAATTCCCTGTGAAATCAAAATAAATGAACAGATCACACACTTCCAACATATAATGGCACAGGGCATACATTACCATTCCAAAATGGAGGGAAGGGAGCATAGCGAGGAAAAACTGTACCAAAGCAAGACCCAAAACCAGCTGGGCAGACTCCAAACTTTGCTTCTCCATGTTTAATGTCAAAATGCTCTTTAGATCTCCAACTCTTCCAGTTTTGTTGACTACAACACACTTACTTCTCTTGAACTGGTTCCACTCTGTGCTAGGAGCTTTCCTTAGCAGGTATCCCAGGACTCTGGCATCTTGGAGTCTCCAAGGCAACCCATGCTTCTCCTTTACAGCTTCGCATAGTGGCCTCTCTGTGCCTCCATTCAAGGACACCCCAGACAAATGACTGCCCTCAGTGGCTTTCCTTAGTCATGGAGGAAGATTCCATAACCCCTTTCTTCTGTATTTGACACTAAAGCCAAAACCAAAGAACCAAAGCTGCCAAGTTCTGCTGCTTGATGGGGCTAGAACATGGCCCCCTCATTAAAATACATCTTCACCAGCTTTCTCTTTATAGTAAGTTCCTTCACTGCTAAAGCCTGACTGTCCTGAAACTAGATCTGTAGACCAGGCCGGCCTTGAACTCAGAGATCTTTCAATTACAACCTCACCAACTTTCTGTTTTGGATGGTTTTGTTTACTCCCTTTAAATCCCAGCACTCGGGAGGTAGAGGCAGGCGGATCTCTGTGCGATCGAGACCAGCCTGGTCTACAAGGGCTAGTTCCAGGACAGGCTCCAAAGCCACAGAGAAACCCTGTCTCGAAAAACCGAAAAGAAAAGGAAAGAAATTTAGCTGGGTAGGCTCTTGCCCTGAGGTTACCACTCCCTTTATTCCATTTTTTAATCTGTTTATCTCCTTGAACACAGGACTTAGTTACATTCCACTTCCTGTTGCTCTATTTTCTCCTCAAATTGTACATTTTACATTTTTTTTCTTTATAAACATGAACACTAGTAACCAAACGACAGACTCTACACTAGGCTGTTTTAAGATTTCTTCTGCCAGTGGAATTAATCCAAATCTCTTCACTTTAGCCTCGGACAGACTCTTCAGACAAGGTCAAAAAACAACCACATTCTTTCCCAAAGTACCACAAGAATAATCTCTAGGTCACATATTAATATTCTTCTCCTCTAAAACCTTTTGATCCGGCCACCCACAGTTCAGCAAATCACGTTCAGCCCCACTGTCTTCCATGCTTTCCCTAGGATGGCCTATTAAGCAGCACTTAAAGCATTCAACTGCTTTTCTAACCCACAGTTCCAAGATCCCTATTCCTTCAAACAAAAAGATGGTGGGACCTATCAGAGCAATACCCAGTCCCTGGTACCAATCTTTCTCTTAGGTTTTTTTATTGCTGTGAAGAGACACCATGACCATGGCAACTTTTATGAAGAAAAAATATTTAATTGAGTGGCGATTTAGTTCATTTATCATCACAGTGGGACATGGCGGTGTACAGGCAGACATGGTGCTGAAAAAAGAGTTAAGAATCCTACATCTTGATCCACAGGCAACCGGAAGTAAACTGAAGTAGGCCTAACTTGAGCATAGGGGACCTCTCAAATCCACAGTGACACATAGTTCAACATGGCCACACCTCCTAATATTGCCATGTCCTATAGGCTTTTGGGGGCCAATTACATTCAAACTGCCATGAACCCCAAGTCGTCAAATTCAGAAAAACAGATGTTTGAAGATTCCTTTAATGTTTCATTTAGTCTATTCCTACCAGTTGAGTATTTAAGTTACGCAACTTAATATAAGAACAATTATAGTAACAACTATAATTTTGTATTTAAAATGTAGGACAGATTTGTGGTTAAAAGAGTTTAAAATGCCACTAATGTCTTTGTGGAGCATCTTCAAATCTCTCAGATTCAAATTTTACTCATAATAACCTCAGACGCTCTGAAACTGACCTTGAAGAAGAAAGTGTGTGTTTTCTCCACATGATCATAGTAGGTAGTTATATAGTATTTAGGTATCACCTATGGCACTAGAAGTTAAAAGCCATTTACATTTGGTTGAGGCTTTGCTCTCTTCTAAATTCCCAATAATTAGTTCAAATCATTCTTGTTTTACTAGTATTTATTATTCCTTTACCTATTTAGCCATGTTAATATGTTTTATAGAGAAATAATTCTATTGTTCCCTTTTTCTATTTACTGCCCTGCTACCTCATTCAGCAGTAATTTTGGTGGCCTTGCCCCATTCATTTTATCACTGACAACTTGAAAGACCTAACAGTCTGGTTCCCTTCGTTTCACAGCGGAGGCCCTGATCTGGAGAAGTCTTTCCCACACTAGAGGTGGTGCCAGGGCGTTTTGAGCCAGCACTTTGCTCCATTTCCAGGAATCCTCAGGAAAATACCAGACGATATTAGATTATTACGATGGAAATAAATACAGACAGGATCAGGTGTAAAAGCAGTAGTACTTACTTTCTTCTTTCATATTCTTTCACAGCATCTCAGAAAGATGGCCTGTGGGAACTGACCTTTCATTCATAAAACAAACTGAATGTGCTTTACCTATATTCATGCATAAACACTAATATTTTCAGTTACTCATATTCTGGATTAGATTTGCTCTCTTGATGAGAAATTCACTCCCTTGCTTCCTATTTTCATTCTAATTTGAAGGTTTCCAGTCTATTTTCTCCTCCTTCTAAACTTCTTAAGGAAGAGGCACCATGCACAGACTTTCAAAGACTTTGTAGAAAAATCTGTGAATTCTTAGGTAGTTTTACCTGTCATCAGGACAAGATCCTCGTGTACTAATTTTGCCTCTACTGTTTTTATTTCCTAGATTCACGGTCTTTCCACAGTACCAGTGCTAACCTGACGGAGAGGTATGATGCGCTTATTCTTTTACTCCTTTTCCCAAAATGGAGTGATGACCATTAAGTATCCTAAGTTCTTTCTGACTTCCTTGAATGGCAGTTAGGCAGTTCTGAATCTTCTTAGCCATTGTAGCTTTTAAAGCTGGAGGCTGGTGGTGTGCTTCTTTGGGCATGCTTAGTGTGCCTGAGGCTCTGGTTTCTGTCCCCATTCCAAAACAGAAAAGCTGTGTGTGCTATATACCTCCATCCTTGTAAAACTGAGGTTTTCTTTTCTCTCCTCCCCCATATTTTTCTTTCCTAATACTGGGGAACAACCCGGGAATTTGTGCATGCTAGGTAAGTGTTGTATCATTGACTTTCATCCCAACTTGAATTGATTCTTTACTTGACAACATGCACAAAATCCCTGTTGTCATTTATGCTTCCATTTGTGTTTGTAAAATTAAACATTGTGATTAATTATGAATACATACATACTTCATAAATTTCATGCAGACTTCTTCAACAAGTAAATTGGCAAATTTGGATCTCTAGGAATCTCTGGAATGAATCTGTCTACTTTCTGCCTGAAATATGTTTATTCTTCACTCCAAAATTTGTACATAGCTTCCTGGGCCAGTCCACAGTTTACTAATAGGCCTAAAGACCAGGAGAGATATGTACCCTCTGCTGTTAATGGCTCATCCTTCACCTAAGGTTCTGTTTTGCCAGATTTCTCAGCACACACTCTGCATCCCATTGTGTTCATGGATGTCCTTTCGAGCAAAGAAGTTGGTATACCTAATGCTATTTTATGTTCACTTCCAGACTTGTTCCTTTAGTACACAAGACCATTCAGTAGCCTCTGCCTGCTTCTTACTCACCCCAGTATTTAACTTTTGTAGTCCCAAAAAACGTCATCTTTTTGTTTTCATTCAGTATAACAGAAGAAAATTATTTCCTGCCACCGAGCCCCTCAAAAAAGGATTTTGAAGGGAAGAGTGGAACAAAAGTTAGTCGCACCTTCAGCTACATCAAGAATAAAATGTCCAGCAGCAAGAAGAGCAAAGTAAGTATGTCCTGGGCATTTTCTATGTGGCCGTGTCAGTCAGTCACCATGGCACATACACAACAGGTAGACAGGAGTCATTCCGGAGGGGTTTTGAAACAATCTCGTGTCTGAAGAAAAATAACAGTAGTGCAGTGCGGCTACTCTTTTACTGCGTGCCAAAGTTGACCATCCACCGTTTACTGAACCCTTTCACAAGCCCTGCTGTTGTAGGTCTTACTGCCCTCCCTTTTAGGGGGTACATGTTTAATGTGGGGAAGCAATTCAACCCCAGTTCTCCGGCCTTTCATCCAACACACTGAACTTTAATGCAAAGATGATTAAATCAAGGTTAAAATTCAATCGAAGGACTTTATGCTAAGATTATAGGATTGAAATGTACATAATAGATGTAGAGGGAAGAACATTATGCTTCAGGAAATTACCAGAACTTTTAAGACTTACTTGGATCTCTTTTTACTTAGGGAGATTTGTGGTATATCCTCCTTAATGCTTAAGAGGTAACAGTAAGGCACTTAAACTTGAGCTGGAGAGATGGTTCAGCAGTTCAGAACACTGACAGCTCTTCCAGATGGCCAGTATTCAATTCCCAACACCTATGCAATGGCTCACAGTGACATTTAAACTCAGTTTCAAAAATCCAATTGTAGTTGTTTGTTCATTACAGGATTCTATAAAATATAAAAATTAAGAAATAAATTATGATAATACTACATATACTCTCAGTATTTTGATTTATGTATTTTAATATTTTTGTGATATATACATATTTTTTTAAATCTGGTATTTTGGTTTTTTGAGACAGGGTTTCACTATGTAGCCCAGACTATCCTGGAACTTAGTCTGTAGGTCAGGCTGGCATCAAACTCCCAGAGAAACACCTGCTTCTGCCTCTAAGTTGCTGGTATTAAAGCCATGAGCCATCACCACCAGGCTATGCTATGTCTTAAAAAGAAAGAATTTAACTCTTTTATACTGATTCCTGATTCTAAACCAAAACTATTTCCATTTCAAATGAGAGAGGGGAAACACTACCCGCCAGTTCCCCTGCACTCTGTTTCTATACCTTTAACCATCTGTCTGCATGCACAAAGAAATAAGCTTTCAGAGGTATAATTGGTTAAGACCTCTTGAAGTGAATCACCGAAACATATCTTTGTATATTGTGTATCTAAATATATTCACATAAGTACACATGTGCATACATATATACTGAACTCAACAGCATTCTTGTAAAAATGGACCCTCCTAATACACACTTTATTCCACACCCAGAAGATTCCACACAAAACAATGATATTTGTTTTGGCTTACTGTTCTTTTCTTTTTTTTTTTTTTCGTTTGTTTTGATTTTCATTTTGTGTTTTTTTGCTGCAGAATTTCTTGAGGTTTGGGATTTTTGGGTTTTTTTCTTAAGAGAAAGAAAAGAACATACAGTTGGGGAGGTAGGGAAGTGGGAGAGATCTGGGATGAATTGGGGAAGGAGGAAAATGTGAAGATATATTTTTTTTCTATTAAAAAATGTTCCCATTTTTCTCTAAACCTTCAGGCACTTGGTTGTGCGAGCTGATAGAAATATGGTCAGTAAATGTTATGAGAGGTCTAACTTTCTATAACTGTAACAAGTTACCTGGTAAAATCAGCTAGGAGGAAAGGCTCACCGTGATTTCAGAAGGGTTAGCCTGTGTTCAGCTTGTGCTGCTGCTTTGACCGGGGACAGTGAGTACCACGGTCAGACCATCTGCTAAAGAGGACGCAGAAAGAGATGAGGGTCTGGGGCTCTATAATCCCTTGCAGAAGCACACATAGAAGTTCTTCCCAGTAGGCCCTTACCTCCTGTGTGTCCCACCATCTGTACACAGGGTTATAGTGTAGGGAACAAGTACAAGGACCTTTGGGGTACATTTACTCTCTGAGCCATGACACCAGGTTTTGAAAATAAACTCTTTTTTTACCATGTGCAAGGGTCTGGTCATTATTCTTAGGAATTTTTTTTCCACAAAAGTTGTATACCAAAATTTGCTTTTCATCATTTTTCTTACCAAGTACAGAGAATGAAGATACAGTATAGTAAATAACTTCTAGCCTAATTACATGTTTAAATATTGGCTTCATTCTAAGACTTGTGTTAGAACTAAACATATATATATATATATATTGCATATAATATAAATATGTATATAATATAAAAATAAATTATGTATGTGTGTATGAAATATGTACATATGTATATGAAGTCAGAAGGATTGGATAAATCACAATATTCCACATGCTGGCAACAACAGAACTTGCATGTTTTGTTTATCTTACTTGGTCAGTAGTTACTATCAACAAAAGAAAATTCTATTGGGAAAGCCAATATAAACCAGCCACATATTGTTGAATGGTTTCTCTGCTTAGTGGTCTGTAATGTTCAGTCTTAACCTTGAAAATGTTGTAGTTTAGTTTGGATGAATTCAAAATGTTTCTGTTGTTTTTGTTTTGCTTTTAAACTATGGAATCTTATCCAAACACATTGTAAGACCTGCACATCAGTGGAGATTCTCTTTGCTCCACCTCCCCATTGCTATGGCTTTTGAATCCACATGGTGGATATGATGCTGAGATTGCTGAGGGTAGCCATGCACGCCTTTAATCCCAGCACTTGGGAGGCAGAGGCAGACAGATCTCTGTGAGTTCCATGCCTGCCTGGTGTTCAGAGCTAGTTCCAGGCCAGGCTCCCAAGCTACAGAGAAACCCTGTCTCGGAAAACAAAAACAAAACAAAAAAAGATTGCTGAGGGTAATACAGAGAGCAGAGAAGATAATGTGGGTCCAGACTCAGAAACTGGAACTTGACCTTTAAAACAGAAGCTCACCCCAACTTCTGTACTCTACAAACTTGAATAAAATGTGTCTCAGCTGGTAAGGCTAGATAATCCTCAGGGAGGCTGTGTGTGGTCCCACTTCCCACTCCTGGTGCCTGTCGTTGTGTGCTTACTCTTTGGTCAAATCTGTCTCTAAGTGGTTTCTTTTTTCCTTTGTCTTTAATATTTTTTTTAACCTCAGAGTACTAGCATTAGGTAAGAGGGAGGTAATAAGGTGGGACAGGAAAAGAAGGCCATCTGTGTTAGAGTAGTCTGTCATCACTGTTAAAGAACCAGTTGACCTCTTGCCTCTGCTCCTCTCCTTAGGCAAAATGACCAACACTCTTTTGCAATTGGCATGGTTCCTCTTTCAAACTTGACTTCAAGATTTAATCTTTGGGGACTGTACTGTCTCCAGCAATGGAGACTCCAAAAACTGCAAATTCATAGCTCCTTAGACTGTAATAGAGTTAGTGCCCTTTACGGGTACTTACAAGTGCCACAGTGGCCAGACATACTAACCTGTCATCTTTCTAGCGAGAGCTTGTAGGCTAACTTAAATAAGACTGTTACACCAGCTGCTGAAGAACACTGTCACTTGTCGATATGGGCAGAAATAATGAAAGAGAAGCAGTCACATGTCCACTCTGATGCAGATAGTGAGTTCAGTTTACTGTTTTCCTATTGGATCCTTCCTGTGTTGTTAAGAAAAAGAAGAAGTTATACAAGATATTAACACTATTTTTTTTTTATAATTGATGAGCTTTCACTTCTTTTTAACCTGTTTGGGGTTAGTTGTTTTTCTTTTTCTTCTCCATGCTGACAATTGAATACAGGGCCTTGCACATCTGAGACCAGTACTGTAACCCCTGAATTATCTACCAAGTGCTGAGATTATTAATTTTTTAATATGTGTTAAAATAATGTGTTAATCTTTCTTGTGTATTTGTCCACTAATATAAATATACCTACTTTTAAAGAAAAAAACTTAAGCACTTAATATATTAAAATAATACATACAAGTTGTATATGAGTATAGTTAGGAAAATTTCTGTGTGTGACCTTGGTATATGTATCTGAGAATACGGTTATACACTTGGGTTTGTTATCCCACATGTCAAGCTGTGATTGCCAACAGTCTTCTTCTTTTTTGTTTTGTTTTGTTTTGTTATTTATTCCTCCCATGAATGTATTGGGAGCCCATACTGCTTGCAAGTAAGCGGCAGAAGGCCAGGTCTATGCAGGCCCCGGACTGGCTGTTCAGTATACACATTACTGGCCTGCTGATTTGGGAGGCTGCCTTGAGTAGCTGTGTGTGAGTTGAGCTCTGTTGGACCTAGGCACCCCCTCCTTTCCTGGGACCCAAGGGACAGTCTGCCAACAGTCTTTAGACACTCAGAGTGGCCAAAGTTAGCTATTAGACAATGAATGATTCACATTTCTAGATAATGTGTTGCCCGATAATGCCAGGTTTTTATGTATATAGTTTTTATTATATAATGGATTTAGTTACCAGTCCTGCATATGTACCTTTGACAGTCATTAGTAATTTGCAGAACTTGCCAAATATATACACGGGGTGCTTTTTAGAAAGCTGGAAGACCTAAACAGGAAGCATAAGAGGAAGATAGACAGTTTCTCCTTTTGTCATACTGACTTTGAGCAGTAGTGCTGAATTGTGTTTATTGTACAAGTCCTTGCATACATAGTATTCACCTTCATAAGGAGAGTGGTATCCAAGCCACTGATTGTCTCTTTCTATTAAGCTCTCAGGTTGTTTTTTTTTTTTAACAAGGACAACTAGAAGATGTTGGAAGTGTTTTAAACCAATTCCTAGGATGACTCACATTTTTTCCTGAGTGAAAAGGATTAACTTCGTCCCCAGCTGATATACTGGTTAACTTTATAGTGAGATGTCGAACCGCAGTTCCTAGTTTCTGTGCCTTATATATGAGAGAACTGTACCCGTCATCCTTTTCAAGGTACTTAACCACATTCGCTTTTCATGGTTGTCCAGAGTACCCTACTAAAAGGAGCGGTTTAGGAAAATGACAGCTGATTTTTTTTTTATAGCAGCCTAGTTTCATTGTGATAAATCGCTTTTATTTTTAAAAGTCATTAGATTCTTTTTCCACAGTGCAATTAAAGCATGTTGGCAATGATTAAATATAGATACATTAAACTTAAGAAAAATAATCAGTCACCCATTTTACCATGGACAACTTTGCTAAAATATTTTCATGTAAAATTTTGCTTTTTTTATTAGAAGTTTGCTAGATAAGTATGGCCTCTAACCTTGCCAGGTTTCTCCTTGCTACAGTGTAAGTGCTGTCCACACATGTATTTGAGGGTTACTTCATTTTTCTTTCATTTCCTATGTTCTTTAGGGTAGTTAACTTTACCAGCAGCATTCAAATAGTTAAGACTGTCTCAAGGAAGCAAGGAGCCTCAACCCTCCCCTTCTGTGCTTTCTCAACCAATTTCTGGCTTCCTCTTATGGTTTTGCTAATGGCAGCTCTGAGCTACTGAGCTGTTTGCCCTGCCGGCATGAGCCCCTCCTTCTGTGAAAGAACATTTCCTGGCATGGGGGTCAAACATGTCGGTAAAATGGGGTCGGCTTCCCGAAATTCCTCTCATAACAGTGCGATTCACAGGACTAAAACATGGGCAGGTAAGAGCCCGAATTCTTCAAAGCACTGAATTATTACAGCAGGAGATGGCAATGTAGTTTGTTGTTTTGTTTTTGTCCATGGAGGAACTAGTCTGGATTGCTGTAAAGCATGAGAAAATGGGTTTTTCAGATCTGAAGAACATTGCACTTCAGATAATAACATAGCTGCCATATAAAGTTGTGTTGTTTGATTTTTTTTAACTATTGGAGTATGCTTCTAACCTTCAGGCAAAAAGAAAAGAGTTCGATGGTTTTAAAGTTAAGAATTCATGCATAGAGAATCTGCAGCAAAAAAAAAATAGTTAAAGGGGTTATTTGGATATGCTCAAGGTTGGTAATTCGCGTTCTACGCACTTTAGCAGTTGCTAATTTTTGTTCAGAAGAATTTCCTGTTTTGTAAAGTGGTTTCCCCCCATCCTTTCTGTTGTTTATAGTTTTAAAATGCAGCAGTTTGACTTTTGGGGTTTTGTTATGTGTGTTCTGTTAAGGGAGAATTTCACATTAGTCATGGAGTTTACGGATAACCCATTTCATACATCGGGTGGGTTCTGAACTTTAGAAAATGAGAAGATTTGAGTTCCTGTTTGGTACTTATCATTGCTTTATGACCCTTTGCAACTCAAGGTACCACCTCGCCAACCCTTTACAGTAATTGTGGTGGATGAGAGCTAAGCCTTAGTCATCCAGAACTGCATCAACTCTAGCTAGACAGTTGTTGCTCTGTGCTCTGAAATGTGTTATTAGACACCTCTAAGCCTTAGTCTCCTCAGATAAAAAATGGAGATTATTAGAACTGTAATTCATTGCCCTGTCCCAAGAAAATACATACAAATTTCTTATTTCAATGCCTGGCACAAAGTAACTGTTCATCATTTTAAATGTCATTCATTACCCTCTTTTGTAAAATGGAAAGCATGATGCCCATCTGCCAAATGAATCTATTTTGATCATCTGTACAGGTGCATTGACTTGGCATGTTTAGTGGTAAGCATGGTCAGTCACTTTGAGAAGCTCATTTCTCAGGGTGTTTTGGGTTTTTTGTTGTTTGTTTGTTTTTGTTTTTGTTTTTTTGATTGTAGTCATAGTATAAAACAGTAGGTAAAGCTCACCTCTATGATTGGAGGTCTTCACGGTCTAGTTGGTTTGTAAGGGAATTACTCCATTCATATCATCATCATCATCATTAGTAGTAGTAGTCAGTTGAGCACCTCGTATAGTGCCTAGCCCTGTAGTAACACAAGGTCATTGTCACTTGCCTATCACCGAGGGGCAACCACAGTGCTGACAGTGGAAATCAAAGACAGCAGGTCTCGGGGAGCCTTACTCTTCCATCCAGAGACAAGGCCTGCTTTTCCTGTCTCACTAGGCTTTGGGGCAAGCAGCTAAGCCTTGGGGAACCCCTGCCCTGAGAGGAACTGAGTGCTGGAGTGATCAGCTTGAGAAGACAGAGGAGGAGGTTGGGGAAGGTTACTGACAGCACTTGTTCTTGTCTTTCCTATACCTCGTATTTTCCATGCTTTCCACCAGTGTCCTTACCGCTGCTCCTGGGTTGTTGTCTTCTCCTGCCTAAAATCAAAATCCCCTTTTCTTTACTACAAAAGATTGTGCTTTTGTGTTGAGTCAGAAAAGTAATAAGCCGATGACGCTCATTTTCAGTAAGGTATGAATAATTGCTGTAATGCATTCAGTGTTACACTTAGATATGTGCTAGGCTTTAACAAAAACAGAACTATAAAGTGGGTACCTATCCCATTTTGCAAATAAGATGACTTCAGACTCGAGAAATAATTTGCCTACAATCTCACCACTAGTAGAACTTAAAATCGAATTCATGCTTAACCTGTGTGCAGTTTTCTGCCCTCTGAACCATGATTGGTATCTGGTAACCTACTCAGTTCTAATTAGTAAAAACAATATATGTAAGGTTATTAAATAGTTCTGATTAGAGTAAGGAAGAAAATGTCATAGAGACCCATTTTTCAGGGACATTCGTGTGGTGTGTAAAAGAGGAGCCTCACAGAACTTCTTAGACTTCATGACATGGTTTCTCTCCCTCATGCTGATCCTAGAATTGCTATCATCCTTCTGCTCCCTTTCTAAACTGATCTAAATTCAGTGTTTCCTGTGTGGTCTATGCCACCATACCTTACTGAGAAAATCTTTCTGCTCTGGGCTCTGCCCAGTGTCTGTTAGTATAAATAGCCCCTGATAACTTGGAACTCCTAAATTTTTCTAGTGGGAGCTTGTAGGATTGAAAATCAATACAATGTTGCCCAGAACGTTGTTCCTCATTTCTGCCCACAATAGGCACCAACCTCTATTGACTATGTGCCATCTCTGTGTCCAGGTAAGGGGAAGGCCTTCCAGTGCTCAGTTAACTGTTGATTCTTTTCTTTGGCAGGAAAAGGAAAGGGAGAAAGATAAAATTAAGGAGAAAGAGAAAGAATCTAAAGAGAAGGAAAAAGATAAGAAGACTCTTAACGGACACACTTTCAGTTCCATTCCTGTTGTGGGTCCCATCAGCTGCAGCCAGTGCATGAAGCCTTTCACCAACAAAGAAGCCTACACTTGTGCAAGTAAGAGACATGCTTCTTCATTTCATCAGACGAGGCTCTCTTGCTTTCAAGAAAGCTGGTTTGTTTCTAGTTTCCTATGCATCCCACCCCTGATCTGTTCCTCATTTATGTGGAGAAGTAACTCTGTGTGTTTTTTTTTCTAATTTTAATTATGTAACTTACAATCTGTATTTTGTTTTCAGATAGCTCTAGTTTCATATTCTCTGCTTAGAAACCACCTCCTATTGCCAGAAACCTGGCAAATCAAAGCAGTACATAGTATTGAACCTTAAAATTTCCCAGATCCTTTGTCAGATCATATATATCTATTTTTATACACCGCTCCCACACCCAGCACACACATGCACACAAAGAGAGAGAGGGAGGCATGCAGTTTAGAGATTTAAACTCAGGGCCTGATATAGGAAAGCAGTCTGCTCCTGAGATACCCCCGTCCCAACCCTTGTGCACTTATTTTTAAATCTGGTCCTTTAGAACATGACCCAGCCACTTGCCATCCTTAAATCACGGTGGCTACCAGATGAGAATGTCTGCATGTGCACATGTGCTCCGTGTTTCTGTTACTGGTCTGCTGAAAGACAAGTCTCTTAACTGAGTATGACTCTGCTTTTGATAAGGCATTCTCAGCAAGAGTCAGTTGGCTTTCTCTGTACAGGACTTAGATAACAAATGTCTGTGTCACAGCCGCGGAATTCTACAGTTGCAACACAAAGATACCCTTAGATATATCAATAGGAATGGCTTTGTTCCAGTAAAATTTCCTTTACAGACACTGACATTTAAATTTTTGCATGCCATGTCATTTTCATCTTTTCAATTCTTTTTCAACCATATAAAGTATAAAAGCCATGCATGGCTCATGGGCTCTCCAAAATCAAGCAATGGGCCAAATCCGGCACACATACTATAATTTGCAAATCTGCTCTACACCAGTATTTCTCAGAATTGTATTAGTGCACACATAGAAAGCAATTATATTTGTAAAGTGTACCAAGGTAACATAAGGAAGCTGCTTTGTTCAGCGGGGAGCAAGCTGGGAATCAGCCACTGTAGGCCCAGCACAACAGGAGGCTGTGCTGGTTTGTCTCGTGTTAGACTGCACACATGCAGACAAGACAGTGTCTGAGTCACACTCAAAGGAGCGAGTCTCACAACTGACATGATGATGTCTTGATCTCAGTTGTTTATTGTGCATTCCAAGTAATCTGTTACTAAAAATGGTTAGCTTACTGAAATTAGAAGTGTATATATATGGGCAGATTCAAAGTTCTGAAATAATTTTGGCTTACTTGCTTTCTTTAATACAAAAGAGGGGTGACGGTACAGCTAGCTAAGAACCTATAACCTCTCTTACCTGTGTCACAGCCATTATGACTTTCACAAATAAATTTTTAAAAAGGTTTAATCACATATGTTCTTGTAAAATTAAGTGAAGGATATGTTATATCCCCCGAAGTAATCTGTAGTCCTATTTATTTAACTCTTTAAAGAGAACAGCACTTACCTAAATCAGTATGCATTCCTTTAGGTAGAGATCACACATATTATTGCTGTCCTCCATGTGTGATTTAACAAAACATTGAGAACTGCATCACATAGTACTGAGTCTCGGGTAAGCTTTATGAAGCAAGAGACTAACTGTCCAGTGTGTCCACCGTGATGCCTGTTGGAGCCCACTCTCTAATAAGGACTCTTTTCTTCAGTGTTGGTTTTTGTCTACTGGAAACAGTCTGCTCAGTACGGCCATTAATTAATTTTCCTACACCAGAAGTCAGTAAGCACATTTTTAAACCACATTATCTATTGTTAAACATTTTTAGCATATTAACCTGGGACATTTAATGTTAAAACTACATTTAGGTTGCACTATACTTAACAAAGAGCACATTGTGAGATCAGAGCTGCAGATTGTCATTTTACTGTCTGATTGATTACTAGTATGGTTGGTATTGTTCTTGATCCACACCTTCTCCAAAGAATTTGTGCAGCTGTCTTTTTCATTGTAAAAACAAGGTGTTCGTCACATGGTGAAGGTGAACAGATAAAGAGCAGTATTGTTGTGGTGGGAAACACCTCTCCTCCCTCAAGAAACCCTCAATATCTATGTAAAGAGAAGCTGCCTAGCATAAATACCAAGCGAGGCACCAGTGCAGCAATCTATAGATTGATTCTGCTTCTCATTAAGAGCTCATATTATTTTTCTCATATGAGAAATGCCTAACAGAAGCATCATAAAGAGAGTGTTTAGTTTGGCTGTAGTTTCAGTCCCTCATGCAGGGAAAGCATGACAAAGACAAAGTTGGTGGTAACAGGAGTCTGTGGAGAAGGCTTCTCAGTAGATCAGGAAGCAGAGACTTGTATCTGCCTAGTATGCCACCTAGACACCATACCCCAAAGGTTCTAAGCTCCTAAAACAACGCAACCAGGTAAAGACCAAGTGCCCAAAACCTATTTCTGTTTGGGGCGGGGGGGGGGGGGGGAGACAGTTCACACAGTTCACATTCAAGCTATAGCAGAAATCAGAGTAAATGGAAGCTGCCGTGACTGGGAATGCAGGTCACTGATGGAGCACTTGCCTAGCATGTACAACCTGGGTTCAGTCCCCTTCACTGAGAGAAAAGCAGTGCTGAAAAAAAAAAGTATTATTTTGCATATTCCCTCCTCTTCCTTATGAAAGTTCTTTTATTTATTTGGGAATCACTAATATCAAAAAAATATTAAAAGGCCCCAGTTCTTTGAAAAGTTCATCAGTATATTTTGAACGTATTCACACATTCTCAGCTCCCTCTGTAACCACCTCCCCATTCCTTCCCATCAGACTGAGTTTTCTCCCTGCCCTAATCTAGTCCAGTTTGTGTCAATGCCACCTCCTGTCCCAGATGCTTGCCATATGGGATTTAATGTTGGCCTTGTTGAGTGTGGTCTTGATTGCTTTGGTCCAATCCTTTCTTGGAGTGAACATCAACCATACAAGCAGTTCCCTAACAGGTAGCCCTAGACTTACTTCTCTTCTCAAAACACTGTTTTCAAATGAATTGAAACCTCTACACCCTAGAGCTTGGAATGGGTGGGGTTCTGCCAGTTCGTGAGATGTCCTCAGGTTATCTTTCCTATTCCTTTGATGTCCTTGGCTTGTTTTTAGTGGTGTGGGTGTCTTCAACAGCTCTTCTGTCCTTGGCCCCAACTTTGCACATACTTCTGAACTTTCTTCTGTGTTTTTTTGTTTGTTTGTTTACAATTCTCACTAAAAAATGTCTGTAAGAGCCAATAAAGCCCATGCCACAGCCTGAATGCTGGGCCGCAGCAACATTTCCTTCACTAAAAATTTGTTAGCCCAGCATTTTCAGACTTAGCCTTCTAAGTCTCAGGGCTGACTCAAAATACAGACAAGTTCTCGGCCACAGCTTAAAACGAATGGCAATGGTCCAGTGTACAGTCTGTCCTCATTCCCATTGGAAACCTCACCATCATTCTTCCTATCTCTTTACTGTCGACATTCTGGGTGTCTGCACTCAGAATCACTCACAAAATTATACTCAAGTATCTGGGGACTGTAGATGGCATCTCCAGACCTTTTGAAATGCTCACCTACTAATTCTTAAAAGTTCTCACACCAAGTATTTTTTTATTACTTAGACTTTCCCTCTCCTGACAAATAATTATTAATTTTGAATGATGGTTTCAGTCCATCTTCTCCATCAGTAAGAGTATGTCAGAGTAGAGCTGGTCACATCTTGGTGCCAAGGAAACAGGAAAACAGTGCCTACACTGGCTAGCTTTTTCCCTTTTCATTTTACCTGAGCCCCCAGCCTATGGGATGGTGCCATTCACATTTATGACCTCCCCTACTTAGTAACATTGTGAAAATGCCCTTATGGAGACATTCAGTGTGTCCTTTCTCAGTCTAATACACTTGAAGAAAAGAGGCCGAGATAGGCGGATCTCTGTGAGTTTGTAGCCAGCCTGGTGTACATAGCAAGTTCCAGGACAGCCAGGGGTTACACAGAAAACCCCTGTCTCAAGGAAGAGACAAAAGTAAACATTAAAAAATAGGAAAAGGTACATAGTAAATGGAAAATGAGACACCCAATTATGACTGACAGTCTTAAAGGTTAAGGGTATAGAAAAATTGGATTCTGTGACCTCCCCTCTCCCCAGAATCCTGATTGGAATCCTATGATAAATCTGGGGTCGAGGCTTCTACCATCCTTATATGCTGGGATACATATGCAAGCTAAGCAGTTTTAGAAGCTGTTTTGTGAGATTCCATTTAGGAATAGTGAAAACATTATGATTCCCAGCTGAAGCAAAATATAGAACTGCTCTGGCCCAGACAGCATCTTCAGAGACTACAACAGAGAGAGGGTTGGATGTCCTGTGAAGTCAAGCAATACACTTAAAAAGAGCAACAACACAGATGCTACAGATAGAAGCAAACCAGTATCAGGAGCAATTAGCAGATACGTAAGCAAGAAAGGACTTACTAACTGTCCAAAATGGATAGCAATGATACTGGAAAAACAAGATGAAACAACTGATCAGACATAGAATTTCATTTAGAGGATAGTTGTGGGGAATTTTCAGATATTCTGACATGTTTGTATCTTCAGTATATTCAGATTTATATTTGTTAGCAAAACATAAAAGTGGCTTCTTCTCTGTATTCTAGGACATCTTGATGGTTTCCAAAAGTTTTTCATATTGTATGATTTTTTTTTTTTGTCTTTAGTGGTGGTGGTACTAGTATTTGGGTACTGGGAACTGAACCTGGAGCCTCATATTTGCTAGGGAAGTACCCTACCACTGAGCTGTATTCCCAGCCATAGTTTTTAATCCTAAAAGTAATGAAAGTGTGGTGGTATGTCCCAACACCTGGAGTGCCATGAATTCTGAGGCCAGCCTGGGCTACACAGAAGGATCTTGTAACAGAAAACAAACCAAGAACTCACCAGGTCAAGATACCTGATGACCTCTGAGTTCAGTCCTCAAAGACCCACATG